CGTGGAGGATCTAGAGTCTCCCGTTCAGTACGCAGATCAGAGGGTCAGTGTGTTGGAGAGGGCCGTGGAGTTATGTTACTCCCTGGAGTTCTTAGGATTGACCCTGCACGCCAATTCCCTGCTCAACAAACCCGCCACAATGGCCTTCCTCCATCAGTTCAACATGGGGGCCTTTACCTATGGAAGTCCCGCCATCAGCCTGGAGATTCGCAACAGACTACGGAGACATGGAGTTCTTGGCATCATTTACGATCGACTAGATCAACTAGACCAAGTGGGCGAGGAACTGGAGGGTGACACCATCTGCACCATTGATTCGGTGACCACCAGGCGGATGATCCGGGAAACGGAGGTGGAGGAGTGGCGCCAGAAGTGTGGTTACAAGCCAGAAACCACCGTGGTAGAAAGAAATATTTACATCGATTGACAATGGTTTTACCCCGCTGACGAATAAAGTATCTAAAGTTATATACCCTGTGATAACAGACCAAATCCCAGTAATGTAATCACCAGCCAACGTCCAAGGCAGACCATAAAGACAAACGGGCATTACACGACTAAGCCGAGAATATCCCACAAAGACCAAACCAAAGTTACGACAATTGTAAATAGAAGGACCGGGCTCTAACCCCTTTGCTCAACCCCCCGCGAATTGGCAAACTTTTTTCGCAAACACTCGCGCTGCGGATGATAAGCTCATGTGAACTATTGCCTAGTAGATAAACAAAGGACCCCAATCCGGAAGCTGCCTCTGGAGAAGGGGTTAAGATGGTTAGGAGGGTTAAGACGATGCGGTCCAGAGTCCCGTTGGGCGGTCAAACGACACGGCATCGTAAATGATATCCCGTGGCGAATGGGTTTCCTTTATAGGCCAGTGCACACTTTAGCAACACTCACTCGAGGCTGGTCGCCCAACCCCTTTTGATATTAATATCCTTTTGCATATCACTCACACCGTTACGAAGACGTTCTCTCGGTGGGATGTGGGTTTGTTGGCTGTTGTGCAACTTCCCCCCATCCATTGTGCGCTATTTATCATAATTTTTCAATTTAACACTGCCATACACTCGGGACTCACACATCCCGAGAGGAAGACAACACCGTGGCTCGAAGGATATCCTGGCGGATAGTTTCCAATGTTTACTTGCGCAAACATCCTTTGACGAACTTTGCCCATTGTCCAGACTTCGCTTTGATGATGGCTTATCCGAACCTTTGCTTTTTGCATTCTCATCGATTCCATCTTTCGCCATAGCCGCCAATGTGTGTTTGTCCTTCCTGAAGGAAGGATCCTACGACCATCGTCCGTTAAGGATGACGTTATTAATGAGCATTTTGACACTTACGTCTTGACATTTGCACAGCTGGCCGTTTGTCTAAGGACTTTTGGCCATTTCAGCGAGTGGAAAAGGTCAACCATCCGCTTTCTTTTCGTCCATCCAATGCTATCTGCAATTTAAATAAATGTGTAATTATGTTTGCTTAAGGTAGAGGGACTCGGTTGAAATTGATGCTTAATAAATTTGGAAATAAATATTTTTATGCTAGCTTAGGGCTGCAAATATTTAAAAAGGATTGGTTACCAATTGATTGACTATATTCAACAGTGATTTATTGCGAAAATGTTTATATAGTGCATTCTTAGTAATATTGATACCAATCCACCTTGAATTTTATAATTCGAACTTAAGGCCAGTATTTTTTAAACTATAAAAATGTCTATCATTTGTTAAATTAACTTTATTTACAAACATTATCTTCGTAAGTACTTAGGCAATAATTAAAATTTTGGGCGAATATATTTTTTAAAGTGTATAATATTTATGCAGATACTCAAGTAAAAATAGAAAATTGTTTCCTGATTGACTTTTAACGAAAACCCAAGATGTATATATATAATTTGGAAGACGTTTTCAGCTGTGTACCCTAACTTAACCTACACAAAGAGCTTCTTATCTCGAAAATAAATCGAATTAAATCATAAATCCAAAAATATTAAAACAGACTTTTATAGCTCAGGAATCCCTTTGAGATTGTCCGGTTCCAGCACACGGCAGCTGTCTTCGGGCGATCGGATGACCACCCCACCCATCCTGGGCGCTTCCAACCCATTGCATTCCCTCAGTCCGGTCTTTGTCCGGGATTGTTTGCCTTCAATTTGACTACAAACCATAATTTATCTTTTCAGACGTGTTGGTCAGCGCGACAATGGCGGGCCAGCGACAAGGATTATTGATTATGCAAAGTGCCCGGTGCCCAGGACAATGCCGAGAAAAACAAAGGCTTAAGCAAAGAGAAGAAAGGATTCCAAGGAGGTCTCAAGCTGTGCGAAGGGGTTGCTCTATATGTTCCTTGCCGTTTCCCGAACTGGACAGCGGTCAGTGGAAGTTGGGAATCTGATGAGCCGAAAAAGTATCCCCTTACAGGACACAGCGCGTGTGTTTTCGCCCATTAGAGAGATAATAGTTCGCTCGGCTCCTCAACCTTTTCGGTGTTAATGGTCAGTTTCGCTATTTTGGCATGGTTAATTAATATCCAGCTCTCGGCAGAGTGTGAGAAAGTTGGAGGCAAAGGTGAGACTGGGCGAGGTGAGAGGCCCAAGCTGTTGACGGATGCTGATAGATTAGGGAAATAATTAATGATGTATCTGAATCAATGGTATATGTATCTGGTTTTTGACCATCTATCCTGCTATTTAGGGGACAGGACCTTTGATTCAGCTGAACTGGTTTCAGAACTCCAAAAAGGTAGAAATTTAAAATAAATAAAATAAAATTCTTAACTTTCAGTTTATAAATAAAACTTGAAAGAAACTATATTAGCGCAAGGGGAACTCTACGCAATATGGTTTTTCCCATATAAGAGATGATCTTTAGCTGGCACAAAGAACTGTTTTCAGTAAGAAACACATATTAATTCCTATATATTGAGGGGAAGAATCTTCTGGCTTTTTTGTTCGCTCTAAAGCTGTTTTCTTCTTGATGTTTCCACTCAGAGACCCAGTGTCGTTGCAAACAGTTGTTGATAAGAAGCATTTTGATTCTACGAGTGCCTGATAAGCGCCATTTAAGAGAGCGGCTGAGTCTGAGGTCAATTGACCTGCTTTTAAGCAGAGACTTGTGCACGTCCGTTCATCAAAAAGTGCTTTCGAGATTGCCATCCCATCCCATACCCCATCCCCACCCTCTGCTAACCCAAAAATGAATCTCGCTAATCTATCAGTCGAGTGTCCGTTTTTGTTTTCGTTCTGTCAGGCCGTCAATTTCCAAGCCGAAAATGTAAACAAACCGAGCATAGAAAAAATATTAAAAAACTTCCACCACACGCCTATAGCGAACAAATAAGTAGCTCTAAAAATATATTCATATATACAGATGTCGCATCTTATCAGTCCGCTGAGGATCCAAACTGATGGCCACATCAGGCGAGAGTTCTGAGATTAATTCAGCTGCCCAGAGCACTGAGCACTGAACTTTTGTCCTGCGACTGCGGCCGCATTCCCTGATCTTTGGCGACATCAATTTTTAGGGTGAACAATTTCAATTAGGTCTACGTTGAACCGCGATTGAGATTAACATTAACACTAAAGCACTGCAAGTACATAGTTTCTGATAATGCAATTGTTGTGCATTGTGCATTTGCGTATTTGCTGCGAATGGCAAACGGTTAGTTGTATCCCACGCTTCGAATTTAAAAGACAAAGGCTGTTTTATTGGCAGCGGGACAATAGGTGGATACTCATGCGGTCTGTCGCAGCCATTAGAAGCACATTAGGGTGCCCACTCACAGGAGCAGCGACACATGCAAGCTGCAGTTTAGCAGCCCAAGACACAGATACACGTTCTTCAAGATACGACTACTTAGGATCCAAACAAAGGCGCCTTTTGTTGGCTCGGCTGGATGCTTGGATGGTTGGATGGATGGATGGATGGATGGGTTCAGGGTCCCTCCGCACGATTCTCCGCTCTTGGCCAACCGCAAATGACGCAAAATCGTCGCCAAGGCAGAGGGTTTACCCACGCACACTCACACTCAGGCCGAAATCTCTTGACAAGATAACAAGATGCAACTGTGAGATACGAATGGCCACAAAAATACCGTTTAATGAGGCGCTCGCACACAGCTTGACTATTTCTTAGATCTTATCGAGAGGGAGTCACTCAAAGGATATTGGCCGGCTGCCTATTCTCATTGAAATCCATTCTATTCCTTCTGCTTTTCGGGTTTCCCGGGGCACATAACTCTTGTTACTTTATGCACCCGGCTTTGTTTGACCACAAAGTGTTGCTGACCAAGTCCCCATTCCTATTCCCCATAATCGATTGAATTACCCGCTGCCTAATGCTTCCTTCCGCAATTCATGTCAGGCCCTAAATTACAAGGGTTTAGGGCCCCAAATGTGCAGCGTCAACTGTCCAAAAGGATTGCATTTCTATGGGAAACTACTGATTGGTTGGATTTTAGACAGGGTATGAATTGATGTCGTCAGCCTTTCACATATTCCGCTGAAAGCCCTAAAAGGATAATTGAAACGGGCACTTGAGACTTTTTCTGAGAGAGCCTCTTCGCACATGAATATGTAATTTCGCCCAGATTTGAATAGAGGGATGCGCAGAAAGCCTCAAGTGGCCGTTGGCCATTGAAGAGATGTTTCCCAGGGTGTGGGTGCTGGAATATGAAAAGAATCAAAATTAAGTGGAAAGTTTCCCAGCTCATCAGTGACTTGTGTCAAAGCCTTTCGACGAAGAAAAGCCTAATTCAAAGCGGCATAAACCTTTTTCGCCATGGCAACATATTAAACGAGACTTAAGCCGTAAACAATGCGGTTTTAAGGCCATTTGAGGCCCCACCCTCGACGAGTGGTCGCTGAAAAGTTTAAGCGATTAGCGCAATTTAGCGAAAATAACATGCGAAATTGCGCGCTTGAACGCCTTTTCAATGGCACTTAGATACAGTCGCAGATAGGTAGTGCCAAAAGGGGAATCCCGCTGAGCTGCTTAATGTGGGAAAATCGTCGTCACTTGTCAGTGCACGCCCACCTCGAACAACCCTCGTTTCCCACACGAAAAAGTGTTAAAACACAATGAGCCCCTATACACAATCACAATTGTTGCAGATCTGGAGATCCTCTCATCTCCAGAAGCGGATTGTCCATGCTAATAGTCAGATGCGTAAAACTCAATGAACACTCAAGTGCCAAGGGTCCTGACAAAGCAGTCCAAAGCGGCTAAGGAAGCTACTGGAAAACAAACAGATATCGCGAACTCATAATCCTTTCAATGCGCCACTTAAGCCGATCATAAGGAAACGGGACCATAACAAAAAACCCTTGACATCTACAGGATCCGACCTTTGGAACCTACGCGTGCAGCCTCCGCAGAAATTCCTTTGTGGACCATTTAGTGAGTGCGGTTCGTCGGGTGTTTGGCCATTTTCAACGGGGTTTGCCATTCGCAACTCACAACTGGCTGCGGAAACCCGACAAATTAGGCCACTCAGCTTCCACTGGCCTTTGTTCGCCTTTTATCCTTTTTTCGGGATGCTTTGTTTGCCCTGTTCCATTCTTAATGCCGAAGATCAAAATGTTTGTGTCGAAGGGTTGATCTTGTTGATCTCGTTTTTTATTCCTAAGGCGAGGATCCCTTTACCTCCGATATGATTTATTTATTTGTATATCTGCAGCAGGGCTATCTCGATCTGGGACAGTCGTACGCTGTTTAAGGACTGCCCTTTATTGGGCTTGACTTTTGCACTCTCATCCTTGGGCTGCTGCACGTGCCGAAAATTGTGAAGATCGGGATAAAAAGATTATTCATAAATGAAACCAAGAAAAAACATTGTGCTGAAATAAATATTGAACCCTTTTAATTTTGATAACAGTCATAATTTATTATTCTTGCTTTCATCAGCAATATATATTTTTTTATGTGACTAAAATCCTTAAATTCCTGTTGGGAGTAATTTACTCATTTTAATTTTAATAATCATTGTTTAATTAAATATTTTCCATTTTAACGTTCTTCTGTCAGTTCATTTATGTATGGTATTATTTCCCATATTGATGCTCATCAAACTATTTTTGGCACATTTCAAACAGTAATCATCCCATTGAAAGCCTGCTAATCTAAAACCAAATTACAACTTTTGCTGCTACGCAAATTGTCCATTAGGCTAATTACGCAAACATTTGTGAATTTACTTATCCAAAACTTTGAAACGCAAACCTCTTGTTGAACTCGAAAATCTGTTGATTGATGGGCGCATTGTTCGTGTTTGTCAGTTGCGTCTGGGCAACCAGAATGGATTCGGATTACACCTGGACTTGGGCCTCTGGACCGAAGACTGCGCAGAGCAAACAGATTATTTTCATAAATTAGACTTTATTAATGATTAAGGAGACAGACAGGATGGCTCGGGACAGTTGAAGGACAACGGGTGCGACTTTCGAACGGGGTTGGGCTGGGCTGGTATATCCTTAAAGGATGCGGTCGAGGCCTTAGAAAACTGGACAGTGGTCAGCGCATTGGTCAGTCACGCACGTAATTTCGACATTACCCCTTCGGGACGGCCACTCGCAACGGGATAGGCAGAGTTCAGAGGTCACCACCGTACTTTTGCCCGTTCTTCTCACAGTCCGAACAGCAGGAAACTTAAGACGTTTTCACGATGAATTTTAATGATTTTTGTATTCAAATGCGGATTGCTCCAACCAGTTTGGGCAGTTCCTTCAGCACCCAAGGGAGTGTCCGCTGACTGGCAGGACACCATATCCTGGATTGGCCCATCGCCCATCGGTCAAGCTGTGTGCGAATCCCATCCAAAATGGCCAATGTCCCATGTTCGGTTCTCGCTTTTTATTACTGCCAACTCTTTGTTCGCTGGCCTCGACAAAGGGTCAATTCGAAAGGGCAACAGTTGAAGTTCAGGGCGCATGTGTTGAGTCCAGGAATGGGTGGCCATTTTGTAGCCACGACCAACCGAATCAAATGTATCTAAATGAAGAAAAACGGTTATCCATTAAAGTTTGGTAGAACACCTTTAAAATAAAACTAATCTGTCTGTCCTCAGCTGCCAATGATAAAATAACACCATATAGAAAATTTAAAAATGTTCTGGTAGGTCTCATAATCTAACAATTTCCTATTATTTTGTGGTAAGTTCCAAAAAAGTTATTATGATATCCGGTGTGGAAGTATTTTCTCTTCGAAGAAATAAACTCTTCAAATGAACTTTGTCCGTTGACTCGTGTGGACCATTAACCAGTTTTTATAATTTTCTTTAAACGGTATTATGCTTTGCTACAAAATCGCCTTACACATAAAGTTTTCCCGGGTTTTTAATGCTTTTTAACTGCTGGCCCAACGCTCTTTTAATGGACTCCACTTGACCAGGCCACCTTAGTTGGTTTGTTGACACCTGCAGCTCAATTTCGGCTTGTACTATTGTGGATCTAGATCATAGGAAAAATCTAAGGTTGTCACTTCTTGCTGGATAGGTTTAAACTTTGAACTAGGCCGACTTTAACTCACTCTCTGGATTTTTCTACAGGTAGCGCACTTCCGGAAGATTTCAAGCTCGTTAAAATCCCCAATTTAATGAAGATAAATCGTAGTTGGTTTTTATTAACCAAAGCCAAGAATGGATAACTGTTTGGGTTTGAAATTTCACCTTTTGACATCGGGCCGGGATGTACTGGATGTAAGTTCCCAGTGAAACAGCGACTGCGGCCACGGTGACATTTAAATTAATAAACTGCCAGAGAGTCTGGGCCGTAACAGGCGCGTAACTGCAGTCAATTATTCGGCCGAAAATATCCTGTTTCCAGCATCCAGTTTCCACATCGGCAGCATCATCATCATCATCAGCATTATTATTAACACTTTCCACGGCCGTGGACTCGCCACTTGAACTTGGTTCGGCGGTGGCTCGGGTTTTTCCTCTTATTGTGTTTTTGTAATGCCATATAATTACACCATCAAGTTGACTGATGACACGGAATGAATCTTTGTCGCTCCCTTACACAACATAACACTCGCACACCCAGTATTTGCATAAAATCATAATTTTTCTTCGCACCAACCCGAGGGAAACCGAAACCCTTTGCCCGGTTTAGGGATATCGTGTCACTCGGTTTCGACTTTCCCTTAAATGTCAGCGGATCGAAGAAAAGAGTTGGTTCTAAATGATCCTAACATCGAGATGCAGGAGTTTCGAATATAATGTGATACATTTTGATAGTAATTTATTTATCTATCTCTCTAAAATTGTTTAAAATTATCTTGAAACTTTATGATTATGCGCTTTTCCTAACTAAATTTATAATAATTAAATGTGCAACATCTCATATTCTATTGACTTTTATTAATGGTCTTAGAATTATTCCTTTATTCTCGGCTTACAGTGGCACACCAATTGATCTGGGCTCCAATGAATGGCATGAGCTAATCCCTGCCATATGCGTTCCTTCTTAGCCCCGATCCGTCATAGTGCACAATCGGAGGTGTCAAAATTTTTGACACTTCAATTTCTTCTGCTCGCAGAAAAACACGAGACAAATGAGCAGCGCGTGCGTTTGCTCATTGCGTTACATGCGAATATCCTGGCAGGAGGATATACAACGTGTATCTGTGTCCTGGATTGGTTTGTGTAGGTGCAGCCGTCGTCTGTCAAATGCGTCTTGTCATGCATCAAAAAAAAATACAGGAGAAATGAAAGGAAGTTGAAAGCCAGAAAGGAACGAAGTCAAAGCAAACAGAGTGAAATGGCAGCGGGGAAAATTAAATTGAAAATTTCAACAGAATCAAAGGTAGGGGGTGGGGGGAGTGGGAGTGGGAAGGGGAAGGGGGAGGTGGATGGCTGCCACCAGGTTGCCACAGTTGACTCTTTTGATAAACAAACAGACAGCAGACAGAACCATGGCAAAAATGTTGATTACAGCCAGCGAAGGCAGCCAGCCACCAAAACAGCAGCAAAAATACACTGGAAAAAATAAAATATACTAAAATCCGTTAGTTCTGATAAATAATTGATAGCACCCATTAATGTGGATTTCATATAATAAATAGGATATTATATTGGATTCTTGTAACCAGTATTATAATACAAGTACTTAAAAAAAACAAATTAATAAAACCAACATTTTTTTTAATTTTTAAAAAAATATTACATGTATCTGCAAGTTTTATAAATAATTTTATTTTAATTTTATTTTTTGAAGATACTTCCTGCCTTAAATTAAATTCAATCCTTATGTTGGTGACCTATTTTGGAATATATTTTTTTAAGTGCACCTACAACAGCGGTACAGTGGGACATATGAGACCGCTGCTTCCGCCTTTGAGTCGCAGCCGCCAAAGGACATGCGCCAAAAAATCCAACAAAAAAGCATAAAAAGCGAAATGAAAGCCGCTGAGGAAATGAGAGAAGCGGGAAAAAATGAAATAAAAATCCATTCCCGACTCGCAACTTCCATGTGTATCCATGTCAGCTTGGCTTTTGTGCTATTTGGAACGAGTTGTCAAATAAAGGCGGCAGCCGGCGGAAAAGAGGAGCTGGATCGTTGACTTGGCTGGCTGCCACCATCAAAAAATGGCGTCTGGCCCGGCGAGGACTTTAAAAAGCTGCTCGGAAATCGATGTGGAAAAGTCAGCTGCGGTCCGGGTGCCTTGCCTTTGCCTCTGCCTCTGCCCGCCTCACCTGTCGCAGGACAAACACAAATTTTAATCAAAATAAAAAAAAAACGGGAGCAAAGTAGAGGAAAAACTACAAATCACATTTCCTGTGGCAACGTCAACTTCCTGTTGTGGCATGGAAATCTCCTAGTCAGCGTTTCACACGCCGCTGACAACTGCAGCCGCTTTGATGTTGCATGCAGCGCATTTTCCGCTGTGTGTCATTTAATTGTCAGTCAGTCAACAAGAGTCCGTCAACTTGGTCAGTCATGCACTCAATCAGTGGCCAGGACAAACGGGCGGGGTTCACCCCCAGCGACTAGGGTCCACCCCCTCGATGAAGTGCAGTTTCTAGCTTCCCCCGGCCAGGAAGTTCGACTTCCTAAGCGGAACTGGCCGCTTTATCCTTCCATGGGAATGCCAGGACTCGCGGGGTGGACTCAAATGCAGTCAGGACCAGGACCAAAGGACCAAAGTTTTTAGCTCTTTGTGGTTTATGCTGCCAGCTCCTAATTGATGAAGTTAGTTTGCGTGCTGTGACTGGAACCCTTTAATTGATACTTCAGTTGGGAATAGATTGGTACAGCAGCGATAAGGACTTTGTTTAGAGCAACATTCAGTGGGAACTAGTTTAATGTTTGGAGAAAGGTTTTATAAAAGCATGATGGTTTGTCTTTCAGGTGATTCATTATTCAAAGTTGTAAAAACAAAGTCAGAATGCTATAGTGAGATGTACATTGTAAATATCATAAAATGCCATACTAAAGTTGTCGGTAATAGTGACACTGGATAAAGAGGTTTTCTTTAGCACTAAAATAAATGATAGTTATATGAATTGGGATCAATCAATTTGAAACACCCACTCCATTATTGGAGACCTACTTATTGGTTGTAATCCATCTGTTTTATATGCTCTTTCCAACACCCTCATTATTTGTTAATCATCGTTAATGCCCCAAAAACCAAACCGCACCTGCGGCCCCACCACAATGAATCGCTGAGCGATGCTTAGCCGGAATAAATCTACCATAAAGATGCTTGACATTATTCAAAATACCGAAACTACAGAATTCCCGAAATATTTGGCTGGAGGAGGAGCTGAATCGAGCTGGAGCGAGCATTGGACAGGGCGATAATACGACGACGATGGGCAAAAAAGGCAATAAAACTTAATGCCAGACGAGGGAGCCGCGAGATCGAGTGGAGCGTGGAGGCACAAACGACTTCATTTTATCTTAATGTGCTAATAAATTTCCCAGAGACGAAATCTCTGCCAAAACCCAAATAAATTTACTAATACCCACGGAAAAGGGGGACTTGTGTCCCCGAAAATGAAATGGAGCGCCAAGTAGTTGACTGAGTGGCATGCGTGGAATCGAAGAAATGCAATTAAGGCAGCCAAATCATCTAGAGAACCGAAGCAGTCGGTAGGGCCTTCCCATCCCGCATGATGTCTTAAGTGTTTAAGTAGCTAAACGCCTGACAACCGGAGAAGTTATGGCCCGGCCTGCAGTTTGAAGTTGGCGCGTGCTCCGCGGACCGACTGCACCCACATCTTCGAAAGTATTCTGTCAACACAGCAGATAGATATAGAGGAGATCCTCTGCCGATCTCCACTTGAGAGTCTGGTGCTGACAATCCCAATTTCGATTTCGATTCCACCCCCTTTCGAAGGGAGGTTCTCTATCACCTCCCCGAATGAATTGTTCGAGTGATATTGCCCTAAAAGGGTTCATGCCTCGGGCTCGTAAATTTGATAGTGCTCAAGTGGGCAACTGGCACCTGAGTTGGCTATATCTCGGAACAATTAATTTCGAATGGTTTTTCAAATTACCAAACTTGATATCTCAAGTTTTATGATCGTTTTGATGGAAAATTGCAATTAATATGACATTTACTACTCAAACAGCTGGGAATATAGCATACAATATGTAGAAAGAAACTTTCGAATTGAATTTGAGATTAAAGTAAAATTTCTATCAATAGGACTGTACTGAAAACGAAAGGTCAGTCGGAATTGTGCTATTTTTCATTCTACGCTGTACGCGCCTTTCAGGCGGTTACCACCCTTAAAAACTGTCGCCCAAGAGTCCCAACCATATATGCAATCTCATATGCATTATTTTGCATGTCTGGCGAGTTAAGGAACTGAAGCGTAAAGGTCAAAAGATCAACGGTCTTGAGGAAGGGGCGTCGGGAAAAGGAAGGGAGGGAAGTTTTTCTAAAGAAATTCCCTACTTTTCCTGTGTTAATGCTCTGATTTCGTTTTTGAAAAATGTATGCAGCATTTGCATTTGTCCATTGTCCAGTTCGATGATTAGGCGTGAAGTCTGGATTTGAATAAGAGTTTTACATTGGGTGCCAGAATGCAGTTACTTCTTTTGGCGGGAAAAAATTAAAGGTATACATTAATCTTAGAAAATGGTTGAAGTTCTTAAGTAAGTTAAGTTTTATTTGTATTCAATGGGTTTGAAAAATAATACATATATAAGAACTACTACAACTTTCAGTTGATTTAATATTTAATTTAAATTATTGAGGGCTAATCAGTTTTGGTTATATTGATTTGTCTAAAGCTGTATTATATGTGAAAATTCAAATATTGGTTAGGTAATATTTACTAAAATTAAAAATCCAATTTGTATGACATAATGTAAAAACCTAATCCATATTCCAGAAGTTTTCTCAAGAGTCTCCCAAAAAACGAGGTCAACATCTTCTAATTAAGGTCACTTCCATCCCAGCTCCCTAGACCATCAATTTTTCCCCGAACAAACAGCCTTACAACACGTTCCGCCTTATTATGACCATGCGAACAAAGAATAATAAAAAACAGAGAAATTCTACTACCCCAGCGGGGTGGTCGAGAAAAAATAACACTTAAAAAATTTGCAAACATGTTTTGCATACAGCAAAACCGATCATCAAATATTCGCATGCAATCAACGGTAATCTAGGTAAATTTTCACCCAGAAAAAGGCCCCAAGACAAAGCCGAGAAAATGTCCAGAATGCAACCACCGATCTTGAGACTCGGGGGATATATAGTATCCAGCTGCTTGGAGACCCACGTCACGATCACGATCATGGGACAGATCTTTTGTGCAAACTAGAGCGAACAAATGCGAGTGCGAAAATCTACCCCTAATCTTAGGGAAACCTGAAATTAAACTTGGCGGACAAAGGAAAAATGGAAGGGGGAAAATTCAAATGTTTATTTGCGTATCGAAATGTGCAAATTTTTCCCATTTTCTGTACCTTGAATATTCAAAATCTCTTGAATCTAAATTTCTATTTTTTCCCAAGGGATGGGGAATTGTCCAGCGGAAGTGCATGAGATCCATATTTCCAGTTAACTTTCGCTGACATCACCTGTCCAAATCGAGTGCCCCAAAAAGTCCAACACGATAATTGGTGTCATAAAAGTTAGTTAAATCATATTGGACGTCAGTCAAATCGGTGACATTTCCAAATTAGAAAGAGCCGCAAACAAAAGTCGTGGGGCGGGAACTTCATTGCGTGATGATTGCTGCGACCATTGTTTTGATGACACGCCAAATGGTTTCTGTTTCGAAGACCATTCCACCTGTCAGCCAAATGGACAGCGAACTGAACACACAATTATCTGCCGAATGACTGGGGTGTGTCAGGTGGCGCTATACCCATGGATGTCCTATATATGTACTATATTTCCCGGTACTCGGTAATAATCACAAATTTACAGGTCGTCGTGGGGGACAGCGTTATGTCATTTGAGGTTGATTTCTGATTGCACAATTATATGTAAATTAATTACGGGGTTTTAGGTTGGGCGCCAAGCGAAGAGATACTCAGATACCCAACCCAACCCTAAACTGCAACTCACTTTGGCTTTTGGCAAACTAGTTTTGGCATGCAAATCAACAACTGCAGACAATTGAGATACCATGTGGCAAAGCCTTTTTCGTAAGTGGCGGAGACAACTCAATGGGGTCTGTAAATGTTATGCTCGATTGAGGATCCCCAGCCGAAGACATTGTAAGTGAGTTAACATGAAATGGCAGATTCAGATGCAGATTCACTGTGAGTTGGAGATGCAGTTGCAGTTGCAGATACAGTTGCAAATGTGCAGCTGCCAGCGATCGAAGTGGCGCGATCATGTGCAAAATGTATTTTTCTTTTTTCGGCGGACTACCATTTCGCCTCATGGGAGCACTTGACACGAAGAAATAATTCCATTGAGTTGGCAACTATGCCGGGAATCTCGAGCGAGACAAAATTAGACAAGAAGCGTGATTTACGGAACCCTTAAATCACATGACAACAACACCACAGATCGGCACAGATCGAGAATCGAAGAGCGAATGCGATGACAATGTCTGGGCAGCACATGTGGATGGGGATGGGGATCTGGGGATCTGCGGAACTGGGAATGGTACTCTGAATCTGATTCAGAATGGGCCTGGAAGTGGGGCTGGCACTGGGAGGCGGACAATGACAATGATACTGATACCGAACCGATCGATCGACGCTTCCCCTTGGCAGTCCCACTGATTTATGGCAATGCAAACGGCAGACAGATCAGACAGTCTGTAGAGTAAGAGATCAAAGCAAATCAGACAGTCTGCAAAGCTTTATGCCCTGGTAATTTTATATGCTTGTGCTAGGCACTGATCATCGATCACCGATCACTGATCGTGTGACCGACCACACTGGGGTATTTCCAGTCAATAAAAACCCGACATGTTGTTGTTTACCTATTAAAGAACCGAGATGATTCTATCAGCCTACCAGCTTACACGACGTCCCGTCTTCCGCATCGCTGTGGTTTTGCCCAAAAAACAATACTTGTTTACCAACGTCCGAGTGACGATCTTTTCACACCTCTTATGAGTCCCAAGAACAAGTTCTTTGGATGACTATTAAAAATGAGTCTTAAATTTGGCATCACATTGAACTAGACAATACCTTTCCACCTTTCAAGCGAAAAGAATCCCCTTCTTAACTTGAAAACATTTTAAGCAAATATTGGCGAATATAAATTTGCATTAATTGGAGTTAAGCAGACCGGCACGAGATGTCGGCGTGAACCTGTTTATAGATTTATTTATTTCGTCATCGAATTTGGGAATATTTTGAAGATGCACAAAGGGAAACCGCAAGAGTTGTTTGGGGATTCTTGGCTGATGTTTGTATTTAGTCATCTGCGCAAAACAGGTTCCAAATTTAGGCATTGTATTTTGCTTAGATTGTTCTTGAATCTCATTAATATCCAGACGATAAATGTTAGAATCTACGTCCCAAGCCGGGTATAAAAGCTCCATTCAAGAGCCGGCATTGATCAGTTTAAAGCGAAATTTCATTGTCATTGGAAGTTCTCGAATCGAAAGTGAAAATGCGTTCTGCGATTTTATTTGGCCTGATTGTGTGCATGGCTTTTAGCCTGATTTTGGCCTTGGAGGAGACTGAAAAACAATCTAACGATCTTTCTGCTGTGGAAAATAACATTGGCCGGGCTGTGGAGTCCGAGGTGCGAGCTAAGCGTCAGCTTGGCTTTGGAGGATTTGGAGGACCCTTTGGCGGATTTGGAGGACCAATTGGCGGATTCGGAGGACCAATTGGCGGATTTGGAGGACCATATGGCGGATTTGGGGACCAATTGGTGGATTTGGTCCTTACGGAGGCTATGGTGGCTACGGCGATACGGTTACGGTGGCTACGGAGGATATGGTCGCTACGGAGGATATGGACGTCACTTTGGTTAAACCTGTAGCTAAACTTTATCCACCAATAAACTAAGACTGAAGTATTAGATTGTGTGTGTACTTTCCCTGGTGCGGGGATCTGCAGAGACCCAAAATTATCTCGCAACTTGACCTCGTCCCTAGAAATGTGTGTGACCCAAGGCGACGACGTGTTCAAAAGCGACAACCTGGGGGCTGGGGAATATTTTAAAAATAAATAACCGAAAATCTCCATTTATTTATTAGTTCGTCGGCGGGGTCTTGCTCCTGAGCCATGCTAATTATAAGTCCAGGAGGGTGTGTTTGTTTATGTTCCACGGGCTGTCACGATCTGTTTGCCTTCTTTTAGAGCACTTTGCAGATCGCTCCTCCTCCAGATTAGGCGGCTTGTGTGGGAGTTTCGGGGGCCTTGCAGCAATTATCACGTACGATTGTCATAATTATCATCTGGATTTATTAGCTGGACCTCTGGGCCAATCTCTGTCTGTCTGGCTGGGTGTCTTTGTTCTGCAAAGCAAGAGAAATGTGTAAATATTTGAGGAATAAAATAACTGACGTTTTTGGTGACTTTCTGCGAGCTGCAACCATTAATCAAGTTAACAATTAAGCATTTAGCAGTGGGCTAATCAAATTTGCAGCATATGCGTTAAGTATCCCATAGAGTTTTATTGGCTCACCGCAATGATGTACTAATCCCCATCTAATCAACATGAAAGCTAGGGATATTATCCTCGGTTCGTCTGTGCATACTAATTTGCGGGGAAATCCACCAATAGATTCTTATCGAGGGTTCGAAGGTTCGAGGGGTTCGCGCAAACAAAACGCCCAACTTGTGTGACTTACCCCAAAACATAGAACGCCCTCGATTGAGGCAAGATGGAGTGGGCCATGGTGGTGCTGTCATTGTTTAATTGTCAATAGACATCGGCTTCTATCAATATCATAAAAGCTAATAACTCTCGGTTGGCTGGACGAGCCGGCAACTGACAACGGACCTGGGCCAACCCCTCGCTCTAATCCCACCGGATATGCTCAATCAAAGCTCAAAGTGGGTGGGGGTGGGCTCGTTTTGGAGGTGGGTGTGGGGGTGTGAGGTGGCCAACCTCAACCTGTCTGTTGGGGGTTGCTCGCTAGCTGGAAATCATCGCATTTCATTCATCACTTTTCGCCTTTTCAACGCGACCAACCCTCCACGGATCCGAATCCGAGCAGGACTTGGACATGCTTCCCTTTCCCTTTTTTTGGGCTGGCTTGTTTTGATATTAAAATTGCGTAATTATAATTAACCACATGTGTGTGTGAGTGTGTGACGGGGGAAGCGGTTTAGCATGTCCTTTGACTGCTTCCGCTCGTCGGTTAAAGTTACTTCCTCCCGTTAGTGTCACGTGTGTAACTTGGTAAGCGATCCAGGGGAAGTCCCCCACCTCTGCCCCTGGGGCATAATCCATAACTTAGCCGACTGTCAGGCAATTGATACAACTTCCCAGCCGAGTCACCTCGTAATTAAAAAAGGAATATTTTCATTTTAATTAGAGCTGCACACCTTTTGGGGACTGAGATTGGGGATGTCAAATAAAATTAAAAGTTTTAAACTTGATTAATAAAAAAAGGGTGTTGAAGGAAATCAAATTACCTTATCTAAAAATGTTGAGAAATTATTCCTTAAAATAAGCAAGTATTTCTTCCTATGATGTATAAATATATTAACTTTGTTGTTGTAGGAGGTATAGGTTGTTTATAAGTCATGCTATATAAAAGGTACCCAATAATCATAGTTTATTAACCATATCATTAATACAATCCATCACCGAGTATAAAAGCCCTTTCAAGATCTCGCTATGTATCAGTGAACACAAAGTTCTGTGCTTTTCAAAGTTAAAATTCGTTTATAAATTGTGCTTAGGCTAATATAATTCTAGCTTTCAGTCTAGTCCTTGGACAGGGAATAACTTATAGTCTGTGTCTGCTCTACAGTCATGGATATTACTTAGTAGTTCATATGGTCCCCATAACAATAGTCGTTCCTTATACTCAAGACCTACCTTAGATTTCCTTGATTCAGACTCCTGTTCTAGACTTTTGCTACCAAAAACGACCACAAATACTTTAGACTTGTATGTTATTTTGGAATCTACTTGGGAAATTACTCCCATACCAAATTTACTCTTACTTTTTTCAAATCGAACACATTTATCAAGTAATGCGTATGGCCCACAAATTCCCTAATTGTAATTAAGCATGGGAATCCACCACAGTAAAACTTGGGAAACCATGTAATGTGGCCAATAAAACTACAATGCGTCTAGGGTTTCCTACGCCGAGCTCAACTGTGGAGGAGTGAGAGATGGGGAGATGGACCTACGAGTAGGAGTAGGAGTTCGAGTCCAGGGCACCGACATTCCAGATACCAGATACCAGAAAACGAAAAAGAAACGGAGACAGACAGGGCCGCAGATGAGAATGGACTTGCGCTGGGGGATTACAAACGTGTTGCCATTAGTTAACTTCAGCTTTGATTGATTTCAATTAATCTTGGACGCGTGTAATTAATCATTGAACACTTTAATATGGTTAACAACTCTTGACCAAGCAACGGTTAAAAAGGTTCAACGAGCAACTGAGGGAACAGGCCCAAGACTTTTGGCTCTGGCAACTGACAAAGTGACTGACCACAAGAAAAATTGTTGGATAAAGGGGGGCATTGAGGGGGTCTGCGGTTGCCGGGGCAGCCGCCGCCAAGAAAAATGGCCAAGTTTGGAAAATGCGTTGGAGTAATAGTCGGTAACGAACTCATGTGGATGGATTTCCATAGCCCAGTCCCAGAGGCAAGTCTACGGACTCGGCCTCGGATTCAGATTCAGCCTCAACTCAGCCCCCGACTAATTGTACTTAGATTTCGCGCCACTTTGGAGAGCTTTGTGGTCGTGGCAACGTGGAAAGCGGTTCGCGATTGATGGCTATCAATGCCGATGACTTATGGCCGCAGTCTCACACGAGTCCAACCAGCAGACCTGGCAAATCCATCCATCTATGTGGCACATTTGACTGCAGCTCTCCTTGATTATCTTGGCTTTTCCTGGCTATTGATTTTCCCAGGCCGAGCAAATAGCTCTGGGCATCGAGAAAAAGTCTACCAAGCGAAATCATCTGGTAAGGTGTCATTAGGTGGGTTCCAATCGCCTTCTCTAAACTGAGCTATCATAAGAGCTGTGCCCCCCACTTAAGGCGACCACAAAGGAAACCATCCATCGGAAACCAATTGAACGAATTTCACACATGGGCGCTAATGAATTTAATGAAGTCATTTTTCTTTAACCGATTTACAAAACTACTTACAACTGGCGGGGCCAGTCAGTCCGTCGCCCCAGAACAAGCGAGTTCATAATTTTGCATCATTAATCATGTCCCTAACAAAGAGATCCCATCCAGCCACCAGAGCGATCCGAGATTGACAGCCGGCAAAAGGGGGAAAGTAATTTAGGCAGCCAGCTTAGATCGCAGTTTGGTCGATTTGCCGCTGGGAAATTAAAAAACAATTGTTAATTATTAAATTTAAATTTTACACTTGGCCACAAGCGATGCCCATTTCATCGGGGCTATTCTGGGAGCTGTTCCGCAGTGGAGGACGGGGCCAATCATTGTGGCTCTGGTCGACACCTCGCTGATGAGATCATTCATCACCGACGTAACCTGAGTGAAATGAGTTGCCATTGTTGCGGCCTGCAGTTCGGACAAAAAAGATTTGGGACCTGAAGGAGAGTCATCTCTTTTGGCATGGGTTCAGTTTTCAGTTTGACTGCTCAATTATCACCTTGATGGGTCTGCAGGGGCAGAAGGGTCGTGGGGACCCGCAGGGAGCACCGAGAAAGTGTTGGATTGGGGATACGGTTGTTAAATGGATGATGCGATGAAACTGGATGCCACTTCCGTAATATTGCCAGCCAGAGTTGTACAACGCTAAGGGCCTTCAAACATACCTAACCTATCATACTAACGAAGTAATCAGATGTGTCTTTTATATTTTTTATTAAGCCTTCAAGAGAACATTTGTATCTAAGATACAAGATTACACACATATATTTAGATTTAAAAATCCAAATCCAAAAAGAAAGTTTATATTCCAATGTCCTGATTACAAGATATCACCTTCTTATGAAAGAACTGCTAGCTTATCTTTTAAACTGTATAGTTCTGAACCACTTTTAACCCCAAAATATGTAAACAATATTTTATAAATAAATATATATTTTCTTAGTTATAAAAATATCACAAATGTAATATTAAATCCCTGTTTCAATTTTTTCCTCCCAATAACTCAGCTTTAGTGAGTACCCTCTGTGCCCGACTGACCTAAGCCAAAATTGCGTTTTTCTTTCGGCTGACCAAAAAAAGGAAATGCGATCACGACCGCAAGCCATGCGCTTCATTAAAATCGGATTATTGTCCAGCCAAATGAAGTCCTGCCGAAGGACCCACAGCTGATCTGACCAATGTCCCCGGGATGGCTGACCAGTGTCCGATTCCCACGATGCAGCCGTGGCTATAAATCCCCGAAAGTCTTGGGTCGTATGCAAAAACGCAAGACGTCCGAGATGGAATTAAAATGGAAATGCGTATAAAATCGACCCAAAATCAACCCCAAAAACACGGCGAAATCTTGGGCGAAAAACCCAGGTAATCGGAGTGGACAAGCGGAACCCTTTTGGCGCTGCCATAATATGCTGTAAAATTTTAAGAAAATCGAGCAGAAAATTCATAGGGACGTTGGACAATGTCCACAGATCCTTCGGGGGTTGGTATGCCAGCGATCCGAGATTGTCACCGCTGTCTTTGGCAAAGGTTAAGTCCAGCTCGCTGGACACTCGAACTCGAGTTCAAACGGCTACCTGGGATGCTGGGCATCTGGTCCAGTGATCTCTCATTGTTAACGCCGCCGCCTCTGACCTTTGGCTGTCTCACGCAATTAGGCAAACTTGCCGGGGTCAAAATTATGTACATATTCCATTTGAATATTTTGCATTAATCTTTTTGCATACAGTTGGCCGCTTTTCTTGGGCCTGGGCTATTTTGTTTGCCAGGGCCGCCTCCCTTCGTCGTCGGATTTGAATAAGTGCTAATGATTTGTGACATGCCTCAGTGTTTTATGCGCCAGCCAAAGGCTTTTATGGCGAATGTTTAATTCATGGCTCCACCTGGGGACGTAGGCACATAAACAAGGCGGAGCGCACATTATAGTAGCTCGTACTAAAAAACCCACAAGGGGGAGGCCCGCATGTAATTACATACACACACAGAAAGGTATAGACACGGATACATCGACAGGGGCTGACATATGTGAGCAGTGGCCGACCTTTGACATGCGCTCTCGAAATACATTTCGAGTGGAGCACAAACACATGGGCCCACCGCCCCAGCCGAATGTACACCTACTTTGGTGGGTAAGTAACTACATACATGTGGCCAAACGAACCCTTAACAGCTTTGTGGCTCGCATGTCAAAGGGGATTCCCTGCAAAGGCTTCCGACCAAATGCAATTCCAAATGGACAAACGCAAGACTAAATAATTGCAGTTATTTTTAATTGGTTCAATGGAATACATAAGACGAATCACGCAGGAAATATATTTAACAAATAAATATTAAATTAAAGAAAAATAAGTTAAGACCGAAAATGATTTGGTCAGCAACTTCTACTGAGAAGGTTATTAAAAATACTATTTTAACAATGTGACATTTTAAACCATAGTGCAGAAACTCAATATTATTGTGCATTTTACTCACAATTTAGACTTTCAACTAACTTTAAACAAACAAAACATTCCCTTAGCTGATTTGATTGTGAAATAGATCCATCAAATGGTGACGAAACCTCATCAGCTCCTTGACAAAGTTGTTCAAAACGATAGATTTCCCTGCTGTTAAATTCCTTTTTCTTTTTGGCTGTGAAATTTTACATTTGTGTACGCGACTCTGTGCAACAGAATACAATTTTAGCATTTTCCAGCACGACCAGCTCCACTTTCACAATGAATCATCGGGCTAAAAACAACAGCCAGCAGAGGGAACTTTTCCTGCAGACCCACTGAAAGGATGGTATAGATGGTATAGGGGGTGGGGCGATAGGGTCGGGAGAGGGCTTGAAAGGGGAGGGGATGGGCGCGTGTTCGTCAGTTTAACCAGCATGACATGGCCCGGTCCATTGCGGTCCTGGTCTCTGGCATTTTAGCACTTATTCATAAAGTCCTTGCCAGCAACGGAAGACAAAAGGCAAAAAAAAAGGAGAAAAAAACGCCAGAGAGAAGAGGAATTACTAAAAATTTATCAATGTAAAAGTTGGTCGGGTGGCTAGAAAGCAGGAAACAAGCAACAATGTAAATTATATGCCAGTTGGTTTTGCCATTTTAGAGGGGCTCCCGAAAGGGGGTTCAAGGGGCAGACTGCGAGTGGCTACACCACAGCTTTTCCTTTGTCCGGGAATGGGAGCAGAACCATGTAGGAACGAAATATATATCTCTCAACGTGCATATGCTTAAGAGCCACCCAAAGTCCTTGGAACATGGAGCAATATGCATTCGAGTGCAGCAGAGCATCCACATGTGGCAGACAAGCTGCAAAGAAAATGTTGCATATAGCTGAACAATTTTTATTTTTCTTTATAAAATATGGAACAAATATCTCATAAGTTTCTTGCAAATTATTTATTTTTTGCTTTGTAACTTATAAAAAAGTGGCTGAATTGATTAACGTTATACCTTAAAAATGTCGAATCTCCACTATAATCAAGTTTATCTTGAAAGTTTTTCAAATTATTTTCCAAAAAATAAGAAGAAATAACGAAAACTTTATAAATGTTGAACCTCCATTATAGTCACGTTTGTCTTGAAAGTTTTACACATTTTTTTTCTTAAATATTATCATCTAAACTATTTTTTAACCATTTTATTTTACGACTTTTCCAAACATTTAGGTACGTGATGAACTGTTTTCATTATCATGTTCATCTTGAAAATTGTAAAAATTACCTTTTCAAAACTGTACCTATATTTAAAATCATTTAACTTTATGAATAAAAATTGAATTTTAAAAAAACAAAAGAAAGTTTAAACTTACTCCATTGTTGGTCTTAAACTTAATATCTTTTGAAAGCACAAGATGACCTTATATAGTTTCTAACCTAAATGGATGGGATGGCTTTGAAATGGTGCCTGACTGTTGATGGATATTTTATATTTCCACCGCCAACCCGGAATATATTTAAATGTGGCCAACAGTAGTTTCATACAGCTCTTCGCCCAGCTGGGCCCCCCGTTCCCACCCTCCCCCTCGAGGACCACCCACTTTCAATGAACTGTCCAAAGCAGAAGAAGAGCACAAAAAATGGCCAACAAGGGGGCGGAAAGGGGGTAAAGAAGGGGGAAGGGAGAGGTGGGGCCTCTGTGGCAGCGAGTGCAAAAAGGCGCTCAAATGGGGTTGTCAGTATTTAACCCACAGGGGTTGGAGGTGCCGGCTGACTGCGCGAACTCCGCAGAAGTCCGTGTAGCTCGGGGGGTGGTGGGTCAAAGTGGGTGGGTGGGTTACATACGCGAGACGAGGACTCCTAACAAGAGGTGCCGAGGAGCAGAGTATTAGGTTCAGAGGGGATCCCCCGAGCAGGGGTATAGGTGGACCGGGGGGGGGATCGGGAGATCATCGCCACAGAGACCCCACACATAAGTCACATGGCCAGAAAGAGAGGCGCTGCCAATTGAATTAGACCCTAAACGGGGCTGCCAGAGAGAGACATCTAGCGGTGCTGATAAAAAGCCAGCCAAACGCTTTTTGTTCCTTTTCAGCCGCTTTTTGTGGGGCAGAAAAAAATCAAAACGAGCGAAATTCCGATACAGTTAATGATAAGACATGGAGCCGAAAGAGAAGAGATAATTAGAGCGAGATATCTATACATGGTGGCGGCAGAGGCGTGGCCTTAAAAACTTGACGAAACTCGGCAACTGAGTGGAAACGAGTCCAATTGGAGGTGGCTCTCTCTCTTATTCGAGTGCAAAGTTGGGGTGGCATATCGTTCATCATCCAATTGTACGTTTGCACTTCGCTCTGGCCTTCCCATGGCCTTCCCACCCCTCTTGCTAAAGTACCGACCGGATCCCGAGATCCCGACACCAGAGGGCGCCAGACTCCGTGGCCCGTTACGCCCCCCCGGCGGGCCAAAAGGGGGCGGGGGAGTGCAAAGTGCGGTGGCCACAATTTGGCCCTTTGGACTGGCCTGCAACTCTTGGCTTTGCAGCCGAGACGGCGACACTTTTCCAATATTTTCCATTTCCCACTACCATTCCATTACCATTTCCCAGTTTTTCACATTAAAAATGAAGTGGCGACAGTGTGTTGCATGGCATCCAGCGATTCCCTTAAGGTCTCCACTTTGTTGCGTGCAAATGGGCGGTCGTTAAATGCTAATTCTAAATGAAACCAAGAAACAACAGTCGGCAAATGGACATATCAAGTTGCGCGAGGTGTCCTCGTTAAGAATGAATTCAATTATCGTTATGATTTCATGTTTTGGCACTTCCCGGACACGTAAACAAAGTCAGCCAAGTAAAAGTCGCTGCCGAGGAGCCAGCCGCTGCCTGATCCAATTAGCCGGGGAAATTATTATAATTATATTACGGCAGTCAGTGGGCTTCAGTTGGCCACGGCCGGTAAAGTTTTATTTAGGGGCAGTCCGAGTACATTGAGCGTTAATAATACGATGGTTTTCGTTGCGCGACATTGGGGTCAGTATCGAATGGCCACTGGTTACATAAATCGGTATCTTAAAGGCCCCTAGCAATGCAAATTTATAAGTAATTCTTTGGTATGATTACTATTCATTGAAACTCATCAATAGGCAAGTAAATCCAATTTAACGACATAAAGTTTGAATTGAGCAAGACTGTAAACGATAAAAAGAAGCTATAAAAGTTGGATTATTGTTCTTGAATAGCAATCTAAAGAAAATTAATAAAATAATAGATAGTTCTAGTTTTACAACTGGTATAACTATTAGTTATAAAAATTGTCAACCAATCTGCAATTTATTTTCTATAAAAATGAATTATTCAAAAATCTTTGTACCATATAGTACTCATTATATCCCATACCATCCTAACCGTCCATCATCTATCTCTATAAACGGCAGCTTATCTCATCTTCCTTCGGCTAGCAACCAATGGAAAGCAGCTTTAAAGCAAACATTTAACCGCGAACGGGCATTATGGCCGCCAAACTCTTCCCCCAGATAAGAAAGCGGACTTTAAGCCCCTCGGAAATTGGTGGAAAACAAAGTAGAACGCACTTTAAGGCGGCCAGCCAACCAGAGAGGCACCCGGCCAAGATAAACAGCGGCAAAAACTTATTTCGGGAGGAGACTCGTTTTAAACAAATTGCTAAAAAAAGTTCGGAACCAAAAAAAAAAGTCAGGCGATAAAGAATCTTAACGGTAAAAGTATCTAACAGATGCGCCCAACGGCGAGCTAATAAGAGCAAACGGGTTCTAGTTGGACGAGTGCTTGGAGTGGGTTTCGTTGAGTGCAGAGCGCTCAAAGAGAGAGAGAGGGAGAGGGAGAGCTAGAGAGAGAGCAGGAGCAGTGGTGGTGGTGGTGGTGGTTTCCCCCAGTGGTGGTGGCAAACCAGCCAAACGCGTCGAAGGTCTTGCCCCACCAACGAGAGCGAGCGAGAGCGGCGATTTCACTCACCGATGGCATATGGAAAACCCAGCAGAGTGAGGCGTGCCGCAGCACTGCCCAATTGAGCCGAGTATGGGGAGCGGAGAGAGATTTGTGTGATGTGTCGTTAGGTCGAAACGGTCGAGTCGAGTCGGGTCGGGTCGTGTACCTTTTGCCACGAATGTTGTGCCAGTCAGGCTCTAAAAGGCCTTACGAGAACAGCTGAGATTTCGCTGCTCCGCATGACGCAAAGATACTGAAACTGAAAATTGAAATTCTCCAAGTCTTTAAGATATCATATCTCGTGTGTGCGCCGAGCGGGAAATTCATAAGCAAAAAAGAAAAAAGAAAAAAACAAAAGAAAAACCAAGTGTTTTGTTAGTGAATTCAAAGCTGAAATGCTTTTAGCATATGCAGTCTTAAAAATAAATAATAATTTTTAACATCAAAAAGAAAAGCAAAAGCTGACATATAATTTTGGCTAACAAACGAAATAAAAGGATAAGAGCGGAAGACTCTGCCCCATACAAAAAGTGTGAACCGTACTCAGTGCGTACAAAGTGTATTCCAGCAATTATCCCACGTGTTCCGACCCGGCCGCCAAAATTATTACGCACAATTCGCTGAGCGTGTACGGCGGCGGCGTCATGTGCGCCTCCCCGTCCACGGCTCCCGGCTTCTTCAATCCGCGCCCGCAGTCCGGCGCGGAGCTGTCGGCCTTCGACCTCGGCCTGTCCCGCTCGATGGGGCTGGGCGTGGGTGTGCCGCCGCACAGCGCCTGGCACGAGCCGCCGACCTCGCTGGGCGGTCACCTGCATGCCGCGTCCGCGGGTCCGGGCGCCACCGGCGGCAGCGTGGCGACGGGAGGCGGCGGCACCACCCCCAGCAGCGTGGCCAGCCAGCAGTCGGCGGTGATCAAGCAGGATCTGTCCTGCCCCAACCTCAATCAGGCGGGATCAGGAGGTCATCATCCTGGATCAAAGAGGATCTCTCCAGCCTCCCAGCGCCAATGGCGGATCCGCCGGTGGCCATCACTCTAGTGGGGGTTCGGGTTCCGGTTCGGGTGTAAACTCCGGCCACGGCTCCGACATGCTGCCCCTGATCAAGGGCCATGGCCAGGACATGCTGACCAGCATCAAGGGACAGCCCACCGGTTGCGGCAGCACCACGCCCAGCTCCCAGGCCAACAGCTCCCACTCGCAGAGCAGCAACAGCGGATCCCAGATCGACAGCAAGCAGAACATCGAGTGCGTCGTTTGCGGCGACAAGAGCTCCGGCAAGCACTACGGACAGTTTACCTGCGAAGGTGAGTGCACTGAGAGAAATTATATTATAATCAGGGAAATGTAAAAAGGAACCTTTATAAATGAGTTGCATCCTAGAAAAGATTAGGAAAAAATTCTGGAAGCACCCGTTTTTAAATTTTAAAAATATTTTTTAAATCCAGTGATAAAAATATTTTTCTAAATTCAGAAAGGCTTTACTATTAAAAAAAATTGTTGTTAAGGGAATTCCAGTTACGATCGTGTTAGATAGCTAATAGATAGGGATCTTAAGTTATTCGAAGACCGAGTTCAAGTACCACCACTGCCTCAGGATGTTTTTATATTTTGACAGCTAAAAAATCAAACATTAATATTTTCTAACCCAAATGTCAAATGCCAATGTATACATTTGGCATCTTCTTGCGGACCATCATAACAACCGTTTTTCAATGCTGAGTAGCGATCTTACCGCCAAGGTGCAATTGGGGGTCAATTGATTTCGTACTCGGGTTCGAACTGGGGATGACCAAACAGAAAATGGCCAACTCAACGTAATAGAAAGCGGGCACAAAAGCGTGCCTGCCAGCCGCTGATTTTTGACAGTTTCGGTGAATTATGGCAGTTTGATGAGTTGGCAATAAACCCCTGGCCAGGTGTGGGTGTGTGTTGGAATGGGAATCGGACTGGTAATTCTTCCCATGGCCATGCAAATCTTGGCGGGAGCTGCGATGCACCTGGAATGGCAATGAACCCCTGTGCCATCCATCCCATGCAGCCAAACCTAGTTAGTTGATCGGGCCCCAAATCGTGTAAAAATTTTTACGAGCCAAAAATACATTTATGATCGAAACGATAGTTTTGTTACTTAGCCCCAGCCAAGTTTATGTTTGCACAATAGCTCACTGTCGTCTGTTTGTTGATATATTTTTTGTGTATGACCATAGTTTAACCAGCAAAGTGGTAATAAAACAAATTACAAACTTTCCCAGAAACGCAGATACATTTGCATCTTCTGGTCAGCATTCCGTTACACTAGAAGAACCAGCTCGAGAGCTCTTGAAATATACACACATAGCGATCCGGGCACGCACTCGGTCTTATCGTCAGATAAAAATTATTATCTAAATAAAATACGGTCCGTGCTTTGTCCTAAGCCAAACAATTGTTGTGCAAACATGCAAATTGTGCGGCGGCTGCTAAATGAAGCGCCCACCTTCTTATTGTCTCTATGGGATGGAAAAAGGGGAACCTCACCTGGATTCCCGGAGGGGGAGGGTAGCAGATGGGTAACTGCATTCAGAGATAGAGGGAGATAGGCTGTGGCATTTAGTGCAGCTTGAAGTTGAACTTGTCATACTCGTATCTCTTCAAATGTTCTGGCACTGGAGCACAGTGACTGCGACTATGACTGGGCCAGGCACAGTGGGCCTGAGAGATGCTCCTCGGCGATTCCCAGATACTTGGCACCACGATGGCTCCCACTGTTCGTTCGCGGGCGCTGCTATTATTATTAATCACCGAGCATTTTGTACGCATGCGCAACCCACAACAGCAACAATCAGGAGATATGCGGCTCTGTGACCGCCTCGTTGCATTCTGAAGGTGTTTCCCCAATTCCCCCTAGATGGTATGGCATACTGTACCGCCGTATGTAGTGCATGGGTACGAGTATCTCTCGGTTGTGTTGCCTGTTGGCCTGATGATGTTGCCACGATAGCAATCTATTTTGTTCTATGCAATCGCCAGACGAAGCTGTAGCTGCGGCTTCGACTTTGGCTTCACTCAAATGCTGGCGAAATAAAACGTAGGAAAAATCATAATAAAGCGCATAGAGCCCATATCATTGCCGGCGTTTTTTTTTTTTTCTTGTTTATTTCGCTGAACCCCAGAATGGTCGGGTCCTTTCAGCTGATTCACTTCGAGGTGCAGATACTTTTTGTGTGGCTCTTAGAAAAGAAAGATACTTCGCGGCAACTCGTTTTGGTTTTGGGCTGTCTGAGCTCTGAACTCTTGTGTGTGTGTGCTCACTTGTCCGTCTGTCTCGAGGTCCCTTCCGTCCTTCAGTCCGTCCGTGGGTCCACATGTCTATCCGTATGTCCAGTTTCCAGGTTCCATGAGGGCACACGGCCAGCTTTCGGGTATGTGAACTTATGCCAAGAAGACACCCCGCCAACCATCGTAGCTGCAAGATTAATTGTAGCTTATGCGTGTTGTCTGCGCCCCGACCCCTTTCCCTGTTTTTAGACGAAGTACCCCTGCCCATGTCCTCCCATTGTGGTGGCAACTTGTTTGATTTCGCGCCCACTGTTGGTGAAATTGGGAGGACGAGCGACCAAAAGTCTTGCACTCGTCAGTAGGCATGGTAGTAACCTTTAGCCGACTCGAAAAGTCACGGTTTAGTGGCGGTTGAAAAATGTGCGCTGATAAAAGTGCCTCGATAATATTAATGATGAGTGCCTGGCTCTAATGTGGCAAGACCCCTTTCCTCCTTTTGCCTGCCCCCTGCCTGTTGCCTATTAATTTGGCTATTTGTCATGGCTATTAGTGGCCAAAAAGCTGAGATTTCTGGTATCTGTTTGGTTGCGCTGCTGAATCATTAATCAGTCAAGCTTGCACAAAATATTACCGCCACATTTTCCAAGAACCCAATTGAATTTCCAATTTTGACAAGAAAACTGTCTCAGCACCCATGTCAAGAGTGAATTAGCATAACTTAAAAGCCAGCGCACATGACAATGCTATATAAATTTTGCGAAAAATTACCGCCACTACTAAGTACCTGGCATGCAATTAATTAAAACAAACATCAGCTAAGCAGAGCAGGACCGAATTGAGTTAGGAGCTGCGGCCCACAAGAGTCGAGAGACCATAAAGAGCTGTAAAAAATTGCCATCCCAACTAATTGTTAAGCGCCAGCCGAGCCCATTAGCTGCCACAAATAATGTGTGTGAAGTGCAGCCGCCGGCTACAGATTGTCAACTCTGAGCAGCATAAATAATCCCGACTCGAGTTGTTCCATTTGTGGGTACATTTTCCGCGAACGAGCTTACATCAAACTCATTTAAATAGATTCCCACGTTGGGCAATTAAGACCCAGAACCCCCAGAAATCCCAAGCTCAGGCTCCCAATCCCAGGGTTTTTTTCTTCAGTTCCGAAATGTCCGAAATTTTGATGTCGCTTGGTCAGTATATATATATGCTGTGTATCTTTGTATCTTTTCTTAAGGGAAGAATCGCATTTCCTCTGTCTTCTTCCTTTGTGCAAATTGTATTCAACATGTGTGGCTTTTTAATTAACTTCATTATGATGTGGGCAAATAACTTGAGATTGAGAATAAAGAAGGGGAAAATAAAGAAAAATTTCTAAATAAATATATATTATTTTTTAAAATACCTACTATTAATAGGTTAATAACCAATAACATCTAGATTTATTTCGCATTAATTTGCTTTGTGAAAATATCTTGCCTTTTCACTTTGCACCTCCTGACAATCTGTTAAATGGCGCTCTTCTGAAATTCTCGTTTCGCTGTGGAAATTCATTCCACTTTGAGCATTTAACAAAAGCCAAACATAAATCAATTTGCTGTCTGTGATACGACCTGCCCCTCCCCCTCGCAGAGCAAAGTAAAAGCAACAAAGTAAATACGAATGCAGAAAATTAACAACGCCCACCGAACATTGCAATTTATGACGCTGCAGTTTTGGGCATATATATTTTTTTTTTTGGGGGGAGTGGGCGTGGTCATAACGCCCAGAGCAGCGGATTTCTTATTTATTAATTAGCAAGAGGCGAAAATAAATTCGAGGCTTGTATTAAAAATTTGCATTTAGCGGTACGAGAACCACTTTACCCCGGGGGCCCCGAGTCAATTTCTTGCCCATAACATATATCAAATAAATCGCCTTTTGATAAACATTTATAACTTCCGTGCGATTTGCAGTCTGCGCTCATATGATTTACAACTCGGTAGCTCTTTGTGGGGAATATAACTTATGGCCTCGATATTTATTTTGACAAATTTTTATGTTTGCACTGGCAAATATCCCCGGACATTTATCGGGTTAACGACGCTGTCACAATAATCATACTTATAGGCCAGCTTTGCACATTGCCCAACGTTGTGTCAACATTAATGAGCCCAGAGCTGAACCCTTCATTAAAGGCAGCCAAAGGAAAATCACCAAAAACAAAAGTTAATTGTACAGATATTGCCGAGACAGAAGAAACAAACAAACTGGGTGAAAAAAGAAAAACAACTGCAAGCTGAAAACTGCAAACTGCAGACATTGTAATCATTAAAAGCTGGCTTGTACTACAAATCGTTGTACTTAGAAGAAATGTTCAAGCCAATAAAGCAGCTACCTAGCCCCCTGTCTCGAAGACCAGTCTACCGATCCCGATCCCAATTCCGAAACCAAACGGAGCTCTCTCAAAATGAGGCGCAAAAAATTCATCCTGACACGATGCGATTTCGAAAAAGGCCCCCGAAATAAAAGAGAGTCTTTGGGTCTGGGGGTAAGGAAATCGTGAACTACCGACTTGATCCGCTTTATAATGTAACGGTTTAATTAATTATGTTAAGCCCGGCATCTCGAACATTGGGCTTTGGGCCACAATGGCTTGCTGGCTTTCTGGCTTACTGGCTTCCCTGATTTTCTGTTGCCACTTCATGCGCAATTTTCGTTTTCAACCGAGTTCGGCTAATCGATCAGGCCCAACGAAATGCTGCCGGCACGTTTTCTGTGCATCTTCGAGGGCCCCAAACAGACCAACTTGCACTTGCAACTCGGCTAGCTAGAACTTGGCTTTACACTCCTACCTTTAACCATAAAGGCCTGGCCCAGAAGTACCCGTACCTCGTACATGACCTGGGCTTAAAGAACCCGACTGTCCGCATATTTTCGCATAGCATCAGTTAAATCAAAGCCAAATCGCTTATCTAAGGCGGCATTTTCTTTGCGCGATTTTCTCTAAGGCAACGTGACATATGGAAGATGCAAATAAAAAGCCAGTTAAGAGTGCTCTGGTTTTTAGAGTTAGGAAAGAGATGAAACAATTGCGAAAGTTGGTTCTGGGGGAGCTTCCCAGATTGGCATTTGATTTACAGTTGACCCATATTGGGCCATAAAGTCTGGGGCCCGGTGGGATATCGAGGCATCCACCTGTTCCGTTCCAGGTTTTTATTTTGTGATTTTTCTTTCTTCCACTTTTTTTTTGTTGCCAGAGGCCCCGTTCATAATCAGTGCATTTTGTAGATACCCCAAGTGCATGAGCCGAGTTAGGAGCTTCGTGTCTGTCGGCGGGGGCTGTAATTATGTTTCGGTTGTACCCCAGATATTTTGTCTGGACTTGGCGCTGCCGTTTGTGCTAATTACTTTGACTAGCTGGCTGCTCCGTGTAAGCTTAACATTTAATTATTGCACCTTAATGATGGCCCTCCCCCCGCTGCCCTCTGTGTGTGTGCATTAGTAATTAGAAAATGAGCCAAAGTCAAGGCGACTTTGACTTTGCATCACTCCGTTCTCCAGGTACGATGAGTACTCTAAGTTCTTCGTTCCGCTTCCTCTGGGCCAAGCGATCATTGACCGGAGTTGGAAAATGGAAAATGCGAAAAATGGTGAAAAGTGGGGGCCAAGACCGCGGCCAAGTCCACTGCAATTGATTGGGCCATCTGCCACCCGAGAGAGTGCATGTGCCAAAAGATACAGATACTCTCGCCAGAGGAGACCAGCTAATTTAACGCTTTAAATTGCCCAGCCAAGCGGCAAGGGGATCTCGTGCGGTGCAGATAGCTGGCTCTTTCAGGAAGTTCAATTAATAAAACGCTTAGCTTAGCTTAGCTAAGAACTTAGTTCTCGGAACTTGGAACCCCCCCTTCTAACTGTATTGAACGCTTTATGGCGCGTAGCACACGCGAAGCTGAGCTTCCTCTGCAATTAGGTGAAGCGGTAATTGAAACTACCGCAAAGGCAAAAGTAAAGTTGGCTTTAGCTTCGACTAAGCCAAAAAGCCAACCGTTTAAGCTGAAGCCGTAAAAGCGGCCAGGACTCTAGGGCTTCGCGCGGACTTCCCACACTCGTATCTCAGCGCTAGAGCGATCCACCCTTTTTCGGTTATTGATATAACACGATATCCACTCCGCCCCGTCTCAGATTTGGTTTACGGTATCCGTATCTGAATCCCCATGTACTCGTACTCTTACTCGTATCTTCATCAATAACGACGCGCATCTTTCGCATCGCACAGTCCACTGGGGATCGCTCCTCCCGCTCCGGAGTTAAGATACCCAGATACTCGGGATGGAGCTGCAGCTCTAGATAGAGTTGCGATAGGCGCATATGGGCAGTTTGCCTCTGTTGCAAGTTCTTTTATTTACCTCTGCTTTTCTGGCTTTCTGGCCAAGAAATGCCCGTCCCTCTCTTGCCAACTGGCTAACTCGATGGATGAAAACCAGGCGAGCAGGGGGCCAAAAGGCAACGGTACGTTTTGGCAGAAATCGTGACTTGGTACAATATCGTTATTCGTAGATCATATGGTGTAAAAACCGGCAGTGTGTGAGTGGGTATTTCTGGATGTGTTCGTAGTTGTCTCTCGGGTTGGTCTCTATAAAAGAGTTGAGAGTGGGGAATAGTAAATGCCCTTTGGTAGAGGAAATTAAACTAGACCAGAGAACTACTCAATCACTGATGTCTTATCAATATTACAGCATATATCATGTGGTATACCAAAAATGTACTTTAAACTTCCTAACCTTATTCCATTTTCCTCAATCTATTTATAATACCTATTCCTATTAGTGCATTAAGCCATCGACTTTCAATCAATTTCAATTTGCGGACCACGTTTTGTTTCCATTTCGGTGGGAGGCTGAAGCCACACGATCGCATTGGCAAAAAGCATTGAAAGATCTTTTATAGCCTGTGATCGCATGCTATATAGAGTCGGGGGTGGGGATGGCATAGGATGGGATAGGATAGGATCGAGTCTGCATAAACGCTCAGCGCTTACATATTTTGTTTGATGATGATTTTACAGCTTAAAACGAATTTTATGAGCATATGCCATTGTTTTGAGTTATTGTGAGAAATCTTTTTGGTCTGCTGGCAAAAAAAAAGGAAAAGACAATGCCTCCTCTATAGGTATATATACTATATACCCCCACCATACGAGACTCTTTATGCAGAAAACGCTGATGCAGAGCCAAGTGATACACATGTTTAGATACGCGTCGGCGACATTAACTTGCCGTGTCGCTGGCTTGTCCTACAACAACACCCAACTGTGGCCCAAAGCACTTAGCCAAAAGCTGAAGTTGTGGCCGAAACCAAAACCGAAGCCCAACGAGCCATGGCTGATCTGGCCGTCTAGCTTAACAGTAAATTCGTGGCATTCGAGCCGAACTTGAACTTGCTGCCAGTTTTCTTCTTTTATTTTCCCCCTCTTGTTTCTTTTTTGGTAGGGATGGCTTGGCAGCCAAGATACACTTTGTTAATTGAAAGCCATTAAAGGTAATTTTATGGGAGGCGTTAAGCCATGAAACGTGTAACATGACCATTGACATGGGCATCGGGAAAAGGCGACTTGGATGCGGTCTAGTGCCGGGGAGTTTGTCAAGGAACTGAAGTACAAGTGGTAACAATGCTGGGGTGCCAAGGAATTTGTAGAGCTCTAGTCTAAGTTCTTTTGTCACATATTTAATTCCTGAATTCTTCTCTCTTTTTTCCAGGCTGCAAATCTTTCTTCAAGCGCTCGGTGCGACGCAATCTCACCTACTCATGCCGCGGCAGCAGAAACTGTCCCATAGATCAGCATCATCGCAATCAATGTCAATATTGCCGATTGAAGAAGTGCCTCAAAATGGGCATGCGACGCGAAGGTAAGACACTCGTCATTCACTTCTATACTACAATACCAATACCATATGGAAACTGAAAAACAAATGTGTTATTCAGAACAAAGAAATTCAGGCAAACACTGATGTGTGTTGTGTGGGTCAATTAAAAGTCAAACCCAGAGGCAAACAGAATAAATTAAATCAACGGCAGAAGAACGGAAGTAGAGCATCGCGATGACTAAATGTCACATGCTAGGAATTTCGAACAGCGTCGAACAATTGGGTTCGGTTCGGTGCGGATCAGTTGAGTTATTTGGGTGCCAGGAACTACGTATGCCAGATCAGGCCAAGAGTTGGCACCCATGGGGCCCGTTAAATTCACATTTTACTTGCAGCTTAAGTATAGTTAGCCAAAGACAATTAGGCCCCCCAGTGACCCCCAAGATCAAATGCAAACTTGTCCAATCGCCAATAGTTCATAATTACAATGAAGCCGAGCGCGAGTACACTGGGCGAAACGCAATGCAATTGATCAGCTAATCAAATGCAGCCCAATGTGTGTAACTAATTTGTAAGCACGGCCAAGCCAAATATTTGGCATACTTGGGTGAGACCCGTTTTCCTGCAATGATTGACTGATTGACTGAGTGACTGGGAGACCAACTGACAGATTGTCGGCCCGCCAATGGCCAGTTACACTTGTCAGCATTAACAATTAGCGTCTGTCAGGGAGTCGCAGATACAAAAGATAGAGACTGACTGCAGTTAGCGGACGCTAAGCTGTTATTATTTGCACTAATATTGACAGGTTTTTCGCAAAATGCTAATAGCCAGCAGCAATGGCAAAGGCAAAAAAACAACGGCAACGGCTACAGATGTCTGTACGGTGTACAGTGTACACATCGATTTGGGTTAAGAACGAAAACGTTAATTTATGGCGACTATGGGCAATTAAAATGCAGCTACAGCCTCCTCTCAATGCACTTGTAATTAAATGAATATAAACATTTATTTAGTCGCCGACGGATTGTGAAAAAAGCATTTCAAATTTACCTAAGTCAAGACAAGTTTTTGGCTAATGACACAGTCGTAACCCAGCTCTACCGATCTACCTGTTAGGCCCATTAAATCTGCTATTTCCTCACCCTGTACTTGCCCCAGAACTCGTTAAACGCAAAAGAGTTCAACACCTTTTGCCACATTCTGGAGTTGGGTTTTTGAGTATTTCTGTTTTGTATTCCTCAGTTGAGTCACATTTCTTTAATGACAAGTTCTGCGTAAAACTAGTCCCTCGCTATCAAAGCTGAGAAATCGTGAGAAAATCACAATTCTGCATAGGCGGTTTCCTTCGGTTTTACCCTCTTTATGGTACTTAGCTGCGAAGCGGGACAAAGGTTGTGCCTGGAACGACCCTGGGTCAAGAAATTGTACGGGTTTGGCGCACAAAAAGCCTCACAAAACCTGAAAAAAACAACATCAAATCGGTGTTCCGGGTCGCTCTAATTAAATTGCAGTGTCAATTGGTCAAGGGAAGTGGGATGGGATGGGCGACTCAGGAACTGGTAGCTAAAGTTCTGCTTTTTCTGCACAAAAACTAGTTTTTTAGGGGTAGCAAAATTATGTAAAATAAATTCGGATTTATTATAGATTTTTAAAGGGATTGTAAAAGGGAACTGGTTTGCCATTCGACCTCTCGCTCGTGAACTTTGACCAAGAAAATTCCACTGGTTGCAATCAACACCTGCATTCGCTCGATTTTGGGGCTTGGTCGAACGCATTTCTGGGCAGACAATGGCCGGGGTTAGTTCGAGATACTTGGCTGGTTAGGAAAGTGGGTCAGCAAAAGGTTTCTCCACCAACACCTCCATGGCCAGATGGAAACTCCACACCTTTTCAGCCAGACAAACACACATCCTATCCTGGGATAGGCACACCTAGAGCTCAGTCATAATCTGGCCAACGCAATCGAAGCCTTGGGCCTCTAAAACAAAGTAATGGCAAAAATGCACAAGGCATTATTATTATTATTGATCGAAGCTCGATGGTGGTGCAGCTGGAAGTGGAACTGGAACTGGATTCCAAGATCTCTACCTGGGGAACAGGCTGTGGGCAAAAACGTAACGTCTTTCTGATTTCGGAGGAAGCGAAAGCGAAAGTCCGCACAATGGACATATCCTGAAAATCCCTTTCTGTCCCGGGTTCCGAAGGTGTTTGTTTATTGCCTTTGCCGGAGCAATTAAGCCGGGGGTTGCACCACCCGAACCAGTTGACCATTGTCCATCCGCTGGAGGAGAGAGCGAGATGGGGACACTTATTTACACAATACATTTGCGTAATTATAATATCCGCTATAGGGTGGGATATACGTAGGATACCGTAGGACCTCTGTCTGCCGAATGCACTTGGTGATCTATGACGGCAAACCGGTTCCATGGACAGTGTCCAGCGCCTTATTTATGCGCCTGGGAAAATATCGCCTGACCACAAGAACAGCGAAGAAGCTAAAAGCTGCTGGCCGCAAAACCCAAAAGGAGAATCTGCCTAAGCCTGTGGTTTTTTTTCTTCTGCCTTAAGATCAGGCTGAGATTACAGCAGCCAAGAAAGCAACACGAAGGGTTTGCAGTTCGGAATGGGTTTTTTTATTTAAGATTATGCTGGCCCCGACTTGCCCTTTCAGCTGATTGCTTAATGAATGAATCTTCCGCCAGCACGTGCTCAAGTTTTAAGTTCCCGCTCACATGTCACATGTAGCTGCCAACACTCGAGAGCGTGTCCAAGTGGCCTCGACTTAACTTGCAGCAGATATTAAGTATCCATATCCACAGATACCTCCGCAGTCATGTCCCTGTCCGAATCCACGTCAATGTCTGGCGAAATGTCGTTTCCGGCCAGAGTTCAAAAGGCCTTTCACTTTCCATTTAGCCGCTCAGTTGTTAAGCATTTACATTGTTAATTATAATGTTTATATATAGCCCCACTGGTTGCGCAAAATAAAACCTGTCCATTATTTTCTTTTCGTACTTGCCTAAAATCTACTGAGACGCTCCCCACATCTGCTGTATCTCCGAGATATTTATGTGTGTGTATCCCAAGGATGCGTTGAAAGTATTTAGTTGAAATTTGCATATCTAAGCAGTCGAGACAACACAGAAAAAGGGGTTGAAAGGCTTTATAGGGTGGCCGGAAAGTATCTTATGACGATGTCTTGGGCCGCAACAAAGGGAGGTTATTCTGCCTGGAGATCGAGGTGGCCAGATATTCAGATATATCCAGATAGCGAGCATTGTGAGCTGTGGCAGCTTTGCCAACAGAGCTGAATGCCCCGCATTGTGAGGAGTGTGATGTGGCGGTCAAAATAGGACCAACAAAAGCGAGATTCCTATGAGCAGGGTGTCTGTACCTCTTTTCTGAGGATAGGTTTATGTATTAGTACTCTAAAATAAGTTTTAAAAGATATGTTCTAGTAAACGAAGACACTACTTACATATAATTAAACAGACCTACTCCAAAGCATACATGTTTTTAAGGCTACTTCTTGGTTTCTGTAACACCCATCCATTATTTTATAGTAGTTCCTAATGTTATGAAACCTATCTAATCCCAATATTCTTTTCTTTTCCTTTCAGCTGTCCAACGTGGCCGCGTTCCCCCTACACAGCCCGGTCTGGCCGGCATGCATGGCCAGTACCAGATCGCCAACGGGGATCCCATGGGCATCGCCGGCTTCAACGGGCACTCGTACCTCAGTTCCTACATCTCGCTGCTCCTGCGGGCGGAACCGTATCCCACCTCGCGATATGGCCAGTGCATGCAGCCCAACAACATCATGGGCATCGACAACATCTGCGAACTGGCCGCCCGACTGCTCTTCTCGGCAGTTGAGTGGGCCAAGAACATACCCTTCTTCCCGGAACTTCAGGTGACCGACCAGGTGGCCCTGCTCCGGCTCGTCTGGTCGGAGCTGTTCGTCCTGAACGCCAGCCAGTGCTCCATGCCGCTCCACGTGGCCCCGCTGCTGGCCGCCGCCGGACTGCACGCCTCCCCGATGGCCGCCGACCGGGTGGTGGCCTTCATGGACCACATCCGCATCTTCCAGGAGCAGGTGGAGAAGCTGAAGGCCCTGCATGTCGACTCCGCGGAGTACTCCTGCCTCAAGGCCATCGTGCTGTTCACCACCGGTAAGTTGCTGGACATCCTGTACAAGGATGTGCCGGCGCTGCTCACCAAGGTTTCAGCCCTGCTCGGCAAGGGCTCCATGGCGTCCAACGACGATGTCCTGGCCGTGGTGCGTGATCATCTAGACGAGCTGAATCGCTCGGAGATGGAGTCTCAGGCGTCGCAGCAGGCTCCGCTCCACCTGGCCGCCTTCATGAAGAGCGTTGCTGGTGTTGAGGCTGCAGTGCAGCAGGCGGAGCAGGCTCAGGCTCCAACCTCCTCGGCCTCCACCTCCGCTTCCGCCTCTGCTCCTCTGGTTCCCTCCGCCGGCAGTGCCTTCAGCAGCTGCCAGGCCAAGTCCGGTGGTTCGGAGATGGATCTGCTGGCCAGTTTGTATGCCCAGGCCCAGGCCACGCCCCCAAGCAGTGGGGGAGGCGACGCCTCTGGGCACAACAACAGCAGCGGGCTGGGCGCCTCGCTTCCTACTCAATCGCAAAGCGGTTCGTCCTCCCGCAACCTAACCGCCTCGCCGCTGAGTACTTCGCTGGCAACCGCTCCCGCATCCGCTCCTGCTCCCGCTCCCCTTCCCACCTCCTCAGCGAGCCACCTTCCGGTGACCTCCACCTCCACCGCCACCTCCTCCTCATCTTCCTTAAGTGGTGGAGCCTATCAGACGCCCTCGGCTGCGGCGGCGGCGGCTGCCATGTTCCACTACCAAACGCCACCGCGCGCCGCCTTCGGCTCGGCCTTCGATATGTTCCACCACAGCACCCCCTTCGGAGTGGGGGTGGGCCACGCCCATGCCCATGCCCACGCCCTCGCCCACTCGGGTGGCAGTGGCAGCGCGTCCTTTGGCAGCCCCAGCTACAGGTATTCGCCCTATAGCCTGGCCGGTAGTAGATGGCAGTTGTAGGATCTCACAGAAGTCGAACCCCCCAGTACTGTAAATTTACTTGTATCTATAGTGTTAGGAAACCAACCCCTTAAAATCCTCTGTATGTATGTATATGTACTTACTTTAGTGCCTAGAAACTAGCTCTACCTATTTATTGCCTTACACTAAGTATAATTTATTCTAGCCGTAATTTCACATAGACTAGCCTAGTGAACTTTGCCAAAAAATTTGATAGAACAAAGAATCGACGAGGGAGAAGAGAAAAAAAGAATCTTAAGAATATATATAAAGCTGTTGCTGTTAAACAAAAATCTAATCCTGGCCTGTGTTTTTACTCGTTATCGCTTACTAATGCTTTACATCGCTTGTTGACTAATTTTTAGTTTCTTATTTATTTGTTTATTTTGGTTTACTAACTCATTCTATACTAACATGAACTAACACTGCCTTTTAACCATGAACTACTAGATGGTTCAACTTTGCAGATATCATTTATTTCCAAGTGAGATCCTACTAGCATTTGTTTAAAACAAATTGGAGTTATTTTGATTATATTGGATCTGTTGTTGATCAAAAGAAATAAGTATAAAACTCCTTAAAATTATATAAATTTGATTTGTTGTAGTATATTTTTGAAAATATTTGAAATTTATATAGCACAATGATCAATTTGTTTTCATTTCTTTAAGACTATGAAAATAATTTAATCATTGTTATTATTTATTGAAAAGTAAAGTTAGTAAAATATGATGGAACGGTTTTCGTTTCAATCAGCTTCTATGAACCGAAATCCACTTCATCATACCATTGTTTTTCCATATTAATATTTAAAAATTAAAAGGTTCAACATTCCTTAAAAAGAGTGAAACCAAATAGCTTTGTGAAACTACTTGACCCAGAAGGTCTGAACTCAGGGTCAGCTAGTTTCAAATCATTTCAAAACACAAATAGAACTTTTGAATTGCAATTATACTGGAATAAACCCTACAATCAGTTGCCTTAGATTCTTAAAATGATGAACACGTTCTGATTAAGTAATTAAGGCGCACTTCTAACACAAGGTATTGGAATCTATTTATTTTTTCAGCTCATTGGAAAACTTTTAATTTTGTTGAATTCGTTCCTTCTTAATTTCAGCAAATTTAACAGTTTTCCGTTTCACAAAACATCCATTTATTTAACACTAATCTTTTCACATTTTTATTTCATTTTTTAACAAAAGCTATTCACACAAAAACAAACAAAATTTAATCTCATCCGCACGTGGCAACAAAACTCTGGACTTTGGGATCACACACAAACACACACTGAAACACATGCACACTTATAAATAACACCAGCTTATATGCGAATAATTTAAATAATTTTAAAGCCTTATACCTTATACACACTTATTTTTAGACAATTAGGTTCCACGCGAAATAAATCACTGAAGTTTTGTATGCAAATAGAGTGAACCGAGGTTTTCTTTGACTTTAGCCTAAGCTAAGTTTGCCAGTAAGTGTAAGTTAGCGATTTTAAGATCGGTTAGAGTAGGGGTTATGTAGGGGTTAGGCAGGGGAAAACAGAAATTTTGATTTACTACTCCCCCCTTTTCTCGTGTCGTGTCAACCAGCTGTCCAAATTCACGTCGCAATTGTTTTTCCGCTGATCTGAACTGAGCCCGGCCCAGAGATATACCAACCCCACTCCTGCTCTTTGTGGCGACGTTTATTGACGTCGAGATACCACATTATGAACATTAATACAACACTCGTTTATGTCGCTTACTTACAAGCCCGACTCCGGTGGACCAGTGGACCAGGTCCAGGCCTCGGTTAAACTTGCAATGAAAATAATTTTACCATTTCCAAAACGCTGTGTGTGTCGCTTGGCCAAGATGCACTGGGAAAAAAGGGGTTAATTCGATATATTAGATTGTTTTTTTAAAGGAGAAAATTAATTCAAAGGTTTTAAGCACAAATGTTTTATTAGACCTTCTTTTATAATTCATTTTTCTGTCGAATTTGTAATTTTTGAAAAATTTCGAAGAGTTCTGAGTTGTGTTCCTCTCATTTTCTTTAATGTATAAGGCTAACGTGGAACAATAATTTCTATTCAAAAAGCGGAGCCTATATTTATTATCTTCTTATGAGCCCCTTATTATAAGGCATTTAAAACTCGTGGTTTTCGAATTGGAAGAGATAAGAGCCGTTTTGGCAACTATAGAAATTGAATGATTGGAGATTTTTATAGTGTCACTCACTTATTAGCCATTATTCTTAGTTTCGAGGGGATACGTCTATAAAAACATTTTGAAACCCTCAACTTTCCTCATCAATGCTTTAGATTAACCCCTTTGCACCCCTAGTTTCTCTCCGTGTAAGCCAAGATCAGCTTAGCCCCACTCTTGAGGGGGCGTGTGTGGCGCGGAGTTCGTGGTCTCGCTGGCTGAGACCCTGGACCGACTGGCAAGCTGCAATTGCATTTGAATTGGCTGCATGAGTCCATAAACTGCAGCCGATCAATCGCTGAGCATTCCCCGTTCTCACATCCCCAATCCCCGATCCGCAATCCACAAATACCCATGGTCTGCAGCTCCGAAGATTGTGGGAGACGAGACACGATCGCGGTAGTAAAATACCGGGTATAGACTTACTAGATCTTCTGTGGCGCATTGACGACATGTCTGCTCCTCTGGCTGGCAGTGCCCAATGCCCAAAAGCCCATGTTACCTGGCTGAGAGCTGCTCACCTTCCCCGCCGCGGTGCATCTTCGCCCCCTCTGATTGCTGTCGTTTGTTGCAGTTGTTAGGAGTTGTAGCTTTCATGTCTTGGCCACACTTTTTGACCAACATTCTGTGTGTGTTTTTCGCTTGGCTCCGAGCGGAGTCTCAAATCGTTTTGTGGCGCTCATTGATCGCCTGCGCTACTTTTCCCCTGAAAATTGCCAAGCGACGTGCCTCGAGGCCTGGGACTCGAGACTTGGGACTTGAGACTTGAGACTCTGGCAATTAACAGTAACTTTTGGGCCGGGGCAGACGTCGTTGATTAGAATCATTAAGGGCGCGTTTCGATATTAGGTTTAGCTTTGTCTGCTATCCTTTATAGAAAAATCGAGAGATTGACTGAGAGAGCCTGTGTTTGCCCAAGATTCAGATGCAGTCGATAGAGCGGAACTCCTTGGTCTCCACAGTTGACCCCACACGACCCCAACCGATCCTTATTAAAACTAAATAAAGTTATAACTGTTTCTGGCGGTCGCCGCACGAACTTCGCGGCCAGAACTGGAGCCATAAAGAACACAAATCTAATAAAATATAATGCAGCAATTCATAATTTTGTTAAACAGTTTGCGGGCCCCAACTCCTGCCTCTACTCCTTTTTCGATATGTCTGCTCGGCTGGTTGGGCAACCACCAACTACTTTACGGTCATTATGCATTTAAAACACGCGGTCACGATCTCTCCCTCGCTGAGTTAGTAACTGCGACGACCCGAAAACCGAAAACTGAAAACTAAAAACCCAAAAAAAAAAAACCGAAAAACCGAAAACCAAATACAAATCGAAGCCAGGCTCGTCGTAGGGTACTGCATAACTACAAGCCGAAAACAGTTAACAAAGCCAAAAAATCAAAGCCCAGAGAGGAGGCTAACCCCTCGAGAAAGCTCCCAACTCTGGTTAGTGCATTTCTCCAGCCCGACCTGGAAGTGGAATGTCTTTCACTTTGAGCATAGCATGCAACTCTTCCAGCATCCCAGCTCCTCGTCATCTCGGCTGCATTTCAATGAAGCCAAAATGTTGTGCCCGGCCTGGCACAGTTTCTTCCTCCTCCTCGGTGCTTATGATTTCCCATTTGGATCTCCCAGATCGTCCGAGCTAATGGAAAGTCAATTGACAATTATGGCCATGGCCAATGAAGTGATTCGCTGAGCCTGCCGGACTGACCATGTCTAATTTGTATCGGCGGAGCTTCACGATTATTACCATTACCTCTGGCTCGTTGTTGGTCGTTGTTTATGAAACCCAATGGTTAATAATGGCTAATTGAATTTCTGTTGCCTCTGGCGACAAATCATTTAGCTTGATTTACGCGCAATTCCCCACGAAATTTATATGATAACTGAGAGGCTCAACGTTTTGCAGCTTAACAGCTTATCCAATCATCAAACAGATCTTGGCCGGGCAACAAGCCATGGTTTTGGCTTTCAACTGACACTCGTCTTTTATGGCCAGCTCGGATTTAAAGTTGCGTGCAGACCCAGAGATTCGGAGAGCCATTAACGACATGCATTTACGGACCAACTGAATGGCAACCAGGCAATCGGATATATGAGCTCAAATCATGATGATATCGGCGGGCAAATGGCAAATGGTCCAATCATTAGCTCAGCTGCAAAATGCTATATATCAGCTGCAGGTCGCCTTGCGTAATAGAGTCCTATATCGTGTGTGCAGTGACTAATTAAGCAAACAAAGTTTCATATGCAATTTCGAAACGCCATTCTCAACGGCAACAACCATTTAAAATGCTTTGAAGCTATGCAAATTTACAAGTGCTGATGGCTAATTTGAATTTCAAACAGTCAGACACCACAAACCATATATATATATATACAAATATATATGAGTATAAAAAAATAGAAGAACCGCTGCCTGTTTTGTTGATGTTTTAACAGCGGCAATTGATAAGCAAACTTTTGGTGCCTGGCAATTAACACTCGACGGCACACGCTGCGTATGCGCAATCTATGTAGCATTGCTGTAATTGTAATTAAATGCCATGGCTAGATGGCATAGTATCGTATCTTATGGTTTTCGCGGGGACAGGGCGTTGTCTTGCGGCTTAATTTTCCCCAATTTAATTAACCCAAGTGTTGTACTCGCTGTTGTTCGGGTTGTTTAGTTGTTCGCTTCTCAGTAGAGCGACTTCAATTGAACATAAATCAAATAGACATGACGTAAGCTCGCAGTTTCGTCATCGATCCGCTGGCTTGTTGTTGCTGTTGTCTTGTGTTCAGTGTGCTTAAACTCAAACTCAACACAAAACCCAATTGAACTGAGCCGTTGTGGGCGTGGCAGCGGCTCATGTTCGGTTATTGGTTTGACGTGACAGGCACTCGAGAGTTGGAAATTTTCTGCCGGCGCCAGGTGAACTGCCCCCAAAAAAGAGTATCGACCATGTACTGCATTTGCATCCATAACTGGGAATCTGCAGGTAACTGATTTTTTCTTTTGTTTACCCATCTTTCAGATGCCTGCGGCCTGTCCGATGTGACGCACATTGAATCCCTGCAAGAGAAGTCGCAGTGCGCCCTCGAGGAGTACTGCCGGACCCAGTATCCCAACCAGCCCACGAGATTCGGCAAGCTGCTGCTCAGGTTGCCATCGCTGAGAACTGTCTCCTCACAAGTAAGTTTATCTCAAGGATAATGGGAATAAATATAAGATAATCAGATTCTGATCATCAAAAGTTAGGAAGTCAATTGGTTAGGGAAATCACATTGTGCAGAAAAAGAATAGAACTTAAAGAGCTCTCACTTGGATTTTAAATTTGATATCTACATAAATTATATTATATTTTGATTCAGCATATATTTTCATATTTCACATTTTACCTAATGTATGATTTTTTTACACTTCTTAAGAAGCTACCCACAAAGTTCAGATTTTGTAACAATTCATAAACTTTATGATCAATTTAAATCAAAGAATCACATAAATTTAACTTAACAACTATTATATTACTTTAGTTTTTTAGGAATTGTGAGATTTTTATATCCCCCTCTAAAGAAATGGCGATGTTTTAAGAATCCATAAACTTTACTATCATTTAAATTAAAGAAACAATTAAGTAAACTTGTTCGATAAATTATTTTGATGATACATCATTAGTATATGCAAGTTTCCTATTTTTTTAAAAGAATATAATTTTTTAAGTGATATAAGTCCCCAAATTTTAAGTGCGTCCCCTAATTCAAATCGATTTTCTTTTCTTCCTTCTGCTTTTCCCCACCCAGGTCATCGAGCAATTGTTTTTTGTGCGTCTAGTCGGAAAAACGCCAATTGAAACGCTGATACGCGACATGCTGCTGAGCGGCAACAGTTTCTCCTGGCCCTATCTGCCTTCGATGTGACACACGATGTGGCGCCAATTGACAACAACTTGATCATCGGCCGCAGCTGTGGCGGCTGCAACGCTCAACATCAATCCCGGCGGAGGAGGCGGCGGGGGCGGGGCAGGCGGAGTTGGCGGTGTCTCCGGCTGTGGCAGCCACAACGTGGTTGCTGCCAGTCATGACCAGCTCGCCAATGTTGCTGTCATGCAGCCAACATACGGCGGTGGCAGCAGCGGCAGCGGTAGCATCGGCGGTTGCCACAACGGTAACAACGGCAGCGGCAGCGGCGGTGGCGGCGGCGGCAACATTTGCAATCAGCAGATCAACAACTACAGCAATAACAACGGCAGCAATCATATGAGTGCAGCCAGTTTCTTCGGCGGCAGCAACAGCAGCAACATTACGAACAACACCAGCAACAGCAACAGCAATACCGATTATATGGCCACGCCGACTACCGCTTATGCGACACCAGCGACAGCAGCAACATCAACGGTGAACACCACGACGATGCTGTCTAATTACTGCGATGCCGCGACCATGATGATGGCCGCCGCTGCAGTCAATGCAAATCAATGCCTGCAGCAACACCACCAGCGCATGTTGCTGGCGGGCAGCAGCAGCAGCAACAGCAACAGCAATAGCAACAGCAACTGCAACAGCAATGGCACAGCAGCAATACCCTCCTCGTCCTCGGCTGGCTCACTGTCATCTGCCTCATCGACGCCAACAGCAACAGCAACAGCATCTGCAACAGCAACAGCCCCGCAGCAACATCAGCAGCAGCAGCAGCAGCAACAGCAACAATCGCCGCCAAATTTAATCGATATCAGCGAAGTTCCTCTCATTGTGGATGTCAAGTAGTGTAATTATTTATGCATCTAGAAATGGGGCTATAAACCAACCTTGTAGATACCCCGCACCCGCCCCAAGAAAAAAAAAACTAAAACCCAAAAAAAAAAATGTTCAATGAAAAAATGTAAAAAAAGAGGGGGAGAGCCGCGTAGCTTAATTGAATAATTTTCCATTTCTAGCTTTTTGTTGTAACTCTGTACATAATTCCCAGAAAAATTGAAATTTTCCTCTAGGCCGCCCCAGCTGTGTGCAACGAATCTCAGCTGACATATCCCAGAGAACTTCAAAAGTTAAACCCAAAAACTATAAGATGAATGTGTATAATATTTAAAAGGCACTGAGTTCTACTTAATTTTTAAATCACAAAAATTTAAGAAAATTGAGAAAAGAAAGAAGAGAGACAACTCCTTAACCCTTGCAAAAGACAAAAACATAAAGATAGTTAAAATATTTATATATGTAATGTAGCATATACACGTATATATACATATATGAATATATAAATGAAACTCTACTCCCAGTGGTTTGCAGAAATATACCAAAAATTTTAAGCTATGTTTACTTGATGTGTGGCAATTTTTTATGTGTGCTTTAGCAATTTTATTTTTACTTTAAGTAAAACTTAAAATTAAATTCGATTCTCGACTGGTTTTCCTTTCTAGAGTGCATCTCAAAGATGACTCTGGGCGAAGAACCCACATTGTTGGAATATGAATGCAAAATTTAGCGAATTTTTTATTTAGTAACCATTACGAGTAAAAACACAAAATGTTCAGTGCAAGTTTCAGTTCTTAAACGATTTTTTCGTAAGCTTAAGCATTATCTTATTTATGTGTATAGAGTATGAAAGTTTTCTATATTTTGTAATAATAAAAATTTGCGTTTATAATGAACCCTATGTTGTGTTTGATTTTTCAGTTCGGTATCTTTTTCCTTGGGTAAGCACACTATTTCGAAGCAACTGCAGCCAAACTGTAAATAAGAAAAAGTAATCGAAAAGATTTCCCATTGGTTGGAAAAAAATATGCGTGTTAAATAATCATTACCAGAAAACAATAAATGAATCGAACAAATCGTATGTAAATACAAATTAAGTCTAAATAAATATGAAAACAATTCGATTATTGAATCCATCACGTAAACGCGTGTAAATACAGTTTTAAGAGTGATTCCAATGTTTTTAATAAAGTAATCCTACTGATAACAAATAATGAATGCAGTTGTAATTAAAAAGCAAGTGTCGGCAAGAGTGTGAGTAATCGTGAGTGTTTGAATATGTGTCCTTATCACTGATTGTAGACCCATCACAGTAGAGAGACATCAATATCAGCAGCACACGAAATGATTACTGCGTTCAATGAAATGCATTTAAGTATTTAAGTAGCCTACGAATGTTTGTTTTTCGTTTTTTGATAATTTCAATATTCAAATGGTCTATATGTTGAATAAAATCTCATTTATTACAAAAAACCAAGCAAATATATAGTTTTTATTAAAAACGCATGTTTTAAAAGGTCGTACTCATCTTTTGAAACCATTTTTTCAATCATCACAATAGCTATATGTAATTACAGTAGGCCTTTAAGCTATACATGTGCTGCTAATTTCCCCTGGAATTCCGATCCGAAACCATTTACACACCCCAAAGTGATCTTTAACCCACAAGCACTCATCTGATGACCGCTGAACTAGCGAAACTTTCATAACTTTCCGGGACAACTTCCTCAAACCGGGCGTATGTATATCTGGGCATTAAGCGGTACGTGATGCAACCAAATACCATGTGTTGCCGGAATAAATGCCCAAGTCATGCCGAACCGAAGCACCCACCTCGATGGGCAAACCGCACTCGCGGAGGGGGCAATTACCCGAACTGCTCTGAAATTGCCAATAATGAGACATGCAACTTGTGCGCTTAGCCTCTGTAATGGATTGCCGTGGATTGGTATCAATTGCGGGTCAATTCCTCCGGAGCTCGCAGTTCGCCGATCGGGGCTGGGGAATTTCACGCGCCGACAAGATAATCGCCGGGATTCCCTAGTTCGCCCCGGGCAAAAACCCAAGCCCCGTCTCAAGGATCGTGCATTGCAGACAGCGTGTAGCCAGCTCAATTCGAAGTCAAATCAAGTTAAAGCCAGACTTTGGCCAAGGGACCCAGGCAATGGCCAAATTGCCCTGGCCAAATGACAAATTAGATATCGAAAATAACAATTTGATCGACAGCCGATCGCCACTGCTCCACAGCGAGAGGGAAAAATTACAAAACCCAAATTGGCCCAAGATCCGAAATAAGGAAGGCACTTTGCGGTCGGAGCTTGGAGCTGAAGTTGGAGCGTAGCCAAAGGAGTTGATGAAGGTGTTGATTTGATTACTTTTATGTAAGCCCAGTACCAGTTGGAGTTTTAGTACCAGTCGAAAACCGAAGTCATCGCAATTGCCATCGAATATATTTCACTCTGCCCCCCCTAGGAATCGTGATCGGGGCAATTTCAGATGGATGGATTCGGATTTGGGCTTCAATTGAAGCCGCCTCGCCGTACGATCCTCCGAGCTTGAGGAGCTCGACCGGCATCTAAATGTGAAAAATGATTTGACTTTAATGGCCGCCACTGAGTGATCAGCGGACTGCGATCTGATCATCATCAACCGATCATCCCCAACCTTGGACGAGGTGTTAAGATTTTGTGACCAATTGGCCAAGAAGGTAACGGTTGCTTTCAGTACCGAGTACTACTTCCCCTGGTACTCCTCATCCCAATCACCCACACTCAGCACTTATTTGCTCTTGAGTACTTGGCTCTAGGCACATGATTGATCCACTGCAGTTGCATTTGCATTCGCACTCGGCTTGTTTTGGCTTCAGTCTTGTCTTGCGTTGGTGGAACGTGGGAATTTGGCTTGAAGAATTGCAATTTTCCGCGCGAGGAGGTGTGTCCGTGAACTATATTTCGTACCACAAAATTGTTGTCTTTAGGATGCCGTAAATGAGCTATGCAGAATTATGCGGAAAATTGTAGGAAATAGCCATTAAATTATTTAGGCAAGCCATTACAAAACTGAGAATAATTTAATACGTCTTAACGGCTTCGAAGTTGGCTTGCGCAAGCTTTTAATATTAGTTGAAATGTTACAGAAACTAAATGGGCAAAGTCTGAGCATAAAATCGTTTTTATAAGTTTCTCAAAGTCTTAGTGATGAAATAATGTGTTACTATATCGCTTAAAGGTCAATAGACATTAGATATTCAACGAGGTTTCATTTCAGTTTCAGTTTATGAAACTCAAAATTTAAGAGAAACTTATAGGAATGTTAACATTTTAAAAAATAAAGAAATATATATTTTTAAAACTTAAAATAACATGTTTAGTTTTGAGTATTACCAATTCAAATATTATTTGTCTAAATAATGAAATCCCTGCCCACATTTAAGTTGACCAGCTATAACTCCATTTTTCCCCACCTTTCACATGCGAAACACGTCCCATGAAAAGAAAGAATAATTATATAAGCCTGCAGCCCGAAGAATGCCCATATGTACGCATGGCCTGGTCCATAGTCCATGGTCCTCGATCCGCTGGACATACAAAGCCGTCACAAAGACCCTAAGATATTAGCGGGCATTTTTCAATCCTTTGACGATGGTCAAAATAAAATATTATTTCGCGCGTTAATACGCAAAAATAAGCGGCCAGTTGGGTGGCACGAAATGCCAAGGCCCGGCGAAGCGGGTGGCAGAGACCTCTCCCCGCACCTTCGAATCCCCGTCGCCCATCTGAAGATTGCAGAAAAACCGGACCTGAGTTCAGTTTGGGCCAGGAAGGTGTTGTTGGCTGAGAAATTATGATGGGAGACTGCGCCGAGTCTGGTCAATTGCAATGCGAATTTGTGACTCGTTACGAGTCGCGTGGCGGTCTTTGGGGTCAGAAGAGCGGGTTAAGAGGGGGAGGCACTGCGCCATGGGTGGTCCTCGGTCGCCCCTCAAGATGCAAAACGCTTTTGACAATTTGTACTTGTTGGCCCGGCTGCCGTGCGTTATAAATTATCAAATAGAAATAGCTTTCGATTCTCCCTCTGCCATATTTTTTGCGCCTGGCCACTTCGCGAGTGTCTGACAGTGAAGCTAAATTATTTGGCATGCGGTGTGAAATATGTGTAATTGGAAAACAAATTCCAATTGCCTAATTTATGACTTGTGCAAAATGGCCAGAAATTTATTATCTCCCTCAAGGAGCCGGGGGGGTCAAACAATGTCCTGAATGGTTGGGGTTACGATTCATTTGTTACCTTTACTAATTAAATTATGACAAAAGGGAGACTGCGAGAGGGTTGCTCTTGTCCCGGGCCACATGTCCAAAAATGTTCCGGCGTATTCAATTTCATTTTATGTAAATGCTCGTAAATGTGACAAAAAGGCTGGGATCTCTGCCGCACACACCACACACAGCACACACACATTTCGGTGACAGATAGGCTGAAAGTTCCATTTCAAAACACGCAGCCAAATTGAAAGGTTCGTTGGGGACTGGACTTTTGCTAATGAAATTGGACACCAACATCGCCCAGGAGATACGCCAGATACGGCTGAGATACAGATACACCAACCCGAAATTATGCAAATCACGGACAAAAAGAGACACGGCGACTGCATATGCAAAATGTTTAACCCTTAATTGGCCCATAAGGCGGACCGACTGTCTCTCACTTAGATATTGCTGACATCGATAGCCATCGCCGTATCCCAGATACTGCAGAACGAGCCAGAGTTGAGGTAACTTTTTCAATTACCCCAAAAACCGACACAAACCAGCTCTGTGGTCTCTCTGATCTGGATCTGTATCCGAATCCGAAGCCAAATCTGATTCCGAATCCAGATTCGACTCGCCCCCAACCCCTTTGGGTTGGCTCTGTTTTGGCGTTGGCGTGAATTATCTGCGCAAACAGCCAGTGACAGGCGTTGAATTGCCACAGTGCCTCTATCCGTGCGGTGTGTCCAGTGGCACTTTGTCGCATAATATGTTAATCAGCCACATGTCAGCCCGCGGGTGGTTTCTGGCCAGCGATGTGGGTGGTGCTTCGGGTGGAATGCGAATGTGTCGAACCCCACCTCTGACTTAATTAGGAGTTCAGCGAAGAAGGGGAAGTCTGGATTTCAGAACGATTTGGTTTTGAACACTGCTCTTTTTTAACAATTCATGGATATATCTTCGGCTAAATACATAAAAGTAAACGTTCCAGACGAACGATATACGATTGTAACAAATCTGTTTTATAAAATCTGAATTTTATAAAGTATCTTTTACATTAGGTATTTTTTTTACCAGTTTTAAAGAACCTAAAATGAACTAGTATTAGTTTAAGGGAAACACAGGATATAAAAGAAGTTTCTGTTTATTTAAGAATTAGGTCCTCTATTAAAAGAAGAACACAGGAAATTGAACAATTTGCTGTTTCCTTTAAAAATCGGTTCTGTAACAATAAGTAAACAAGTAAAAATGGTCCTTCAAATCTGGTCCTCAGAAAGATTTTTCAGTAAGTTCTTACTTTTTTACATTTTATTAAAGTAAATATGATTTTTTACAATTTATTTCCAATAAGGCCAAGGCAAATTTATTAAGGGAAACATTTCGCAAGAGATTCGCGACCAGTAAAGCCATATTTATGATCAATCTGTCGCAGCCATATACAGTTATTCTTGACCCGTTCATGCCTGCTCCATTTAACACAGACACACACACATACTGTGGCAATGTTTTGGCAATAAATTGGCATTTAAATTAATTCACCTTGAATTATGTTCTTTGTGCGATAAAAGGGAAACACTCGGCCAGACCCAGCAGCCCCCCACAGCGTAATTTTCAATCAAAATCGCACATCCGCGAAATTATCATGAACTCAGCAGAGCAGTCCGAGCCGCGGACCCATAACCACTCGAATTCGAATATCCCTGGATCGGGTGAGGAGATTATCAAATTGATTCCAATTAACACTTGCCACCGCTGCAGGGACTTCGAGGCAATGGGCATTGGACATTGGACATTGGCCAACGGCCGCCGGCGATTGCATTCATTTCTTCCCGACTGTTGTGTGTATGCAAACGTTATAAATATTTCACTCTTTGTGCAGGGTTTACGGTTAGCAGCCACAACACCCTGAAAGGGACCCCAACTTTATGGCCAGACTCCTTTCTCCCCGGCCAACGAATCACGCACATAACTTAAGCGCACTTTGTCGTAATTCGTAATTCGAATTGACAAACGTTTCTTGGCCCCAGTCGCTTTTTACCTGGTGCTAACTTTTGGCTCGCCGAAATGATAAATATTCCATAATTTCGCCTGGCATTCAATTTCGATTCGTGTGACACATAAATTACGAATTAACGCTTTAAGCCCAAACAAGAGGAGATCAAGCTTCGGGTCTGAGATTTCTTTTGATCATTTCCTAGAGCTTGGGAAATCGGAAAATGGCAGCCTAAAGGGAAATGTGGTTAAATTAAAAATGACAACTAAAATAAATTTGCAATTGACCAGGAGGTTTAAAATATATCAGATAAATGTGCTCCAAACTTAGCAATCCACTTTATTTCCAGATACAATACGGAACTCGCCTTTAACTTTTAGTAATTATGGCATCCCTTAAAATAAGAAGATATATGATTAGTGATAACTGACATTTTTAGCACCATTATAACAATCTTAATTGGCTGCTACACCTGTAAATCAATCCACGAAAGCACCCTCATATCATCATGACCAAGTTTTTCCCCCGCTTTTCAAAGAAATACACGCAAAAGTCTCTCTCACGTTTTAAGCTGCCAACTGACAAGAGGGGCAGCTTAATTAAGTTGAAAATTCATGAAGTTCTTTATCAAGAGAAATTCATTAGCCAGAGTCTAAAACACTATACAAAGTATCGCTGGAGTAAAAAAAAACAAAATAATTTCCTGAGAAAAGGATTTCCTCTTAAAAAACTAAAAAAAGGAATGGTAAAAGGAAGCTCAGACTTAGACAGAAAGTTCAAAAGGAGGAAAAGACCTGCAATGAGGCATACGAAAAGCCGAAAGATGCGCTGCGCACAAAAGATGATTAATAATCTCCGAGACAGACTCTGACTCTCAAGAACTCCCCCCACTAACCACGGAAAAATCCTGGCCAGGAGTGGGAAAAGACAAATGTCTTGGCTGCGTGGTCTCTTTCACAGTTAATTTAAGTTTCCAGGCGAAACGGATGCAGGACCTGGCTGGAAAAAGAATTTTGCTGATTTTGTCAACTGTTTGTCGCTGATAAAATTATTAGCTCTCCTTTTGTTTCAGCCCCTGTGACAAAAACCGGAATCGGGTGGGGAAACAATTTCTTTTTCCACCCAAAATTTTTGTATTAAAATGCAAATTTTTTGTTAATTTTGTTGTTTTTGTTTTAATCAGCGGGAAGCCACAGAACCATTTTCCACCTCCACAGCGGTTGCACTTGGATGGTGATGAATGTTGAACCCCGGCGTATGTCAGGAACCAGGAATCAGGGGTCGGTTCCCTGGAACCCCAAAGCAGAAATTGTTTTTTCTAAATGCCCTTCTAATTTTCTTTCTGCTGGTTCACAATTTTTAATTTCCCGTACTAATAGAGCTTGTAATGGGAATATTTTGTTCTGAAAAAAATGTATATACCAATCATTAGGAAAGACCAAAATGCCAGGCATCCATAAATAAATAAAATAAATATTAAAGTTTATTCGCTGCACACTTTGTTTAGAGCTCAAGCCATTAGTTAAACTCTTAGTTAAGTGCTTGTGAGCCAAATTTTGATGTGTTGCTGTTCTTTCTGCCCTCCTATCTGGAAGTCATCTAAAGACACCGCGTTCAGTTCACAGACGCGAGCGAGAGACATAAACAATTAAACTCATTTGACGATTAATTACGCGCCGCTTCCAAATCGCGTGTGCTGCCACCACAGGCTGCAGCCCGCGGCAAAATTGTTCTATCAAAACAGAGCAGCTAGAGCAAGAACCCAGCGACAAGAACAGCACCCACAGCCAAAGTACAAATTCATTTGCTGCTAAAGACACAAGAGGAACTTGCATGTCGTGTCATAATCTTGATGAATGCATAATTGCATGCCATGCTCCCAAGCACTCCTCTTCCGATCTGCCGACCTTCCCATCTCCCCATCCACATCCACCGATCAGATCTGCCGTTCTGGGTTCCGATCGAAATGGGTTTAAGTGTCAACCAGCATAAGAGCGGACCCGAAAGTAGTCCCCATTTTCTAAATATTTTCATATTTTTCAATAGACAAACGGCATAGAAATCGAAATTTGTTTCTATACACTCAGGAAAAAATGTATAATAACTTCAAAGAAAATTCAAAAATAGAAACAGATTCGAATTTCTATAATATGAAAATATTTATATTGATTGAGAACACTTTCTCTTTATTCATTGCAATCAAGCATTGTTTTTTCTTTTTTCAAATTTGTTGCATTTATAAAAATATTTAACAATTTTAAATTGCCCCTAGATAAACATACTTTTTTCTATGTACATCTATGCATCATGCAATACATGAATTATGCGGCAATTAATTAATGAGGAATATCGAAACCGACCCGAACTAACCCAATCCCCATTCAACCACTGGCATCGACCACCATCATCTTGACTCGACTCATTCATCGACTTTGTGCATTTCAGGGAGAGAGCCACATATTGGTGACCTAAATTATTCAATTCATTTTTATTTATTTTTAATTTTTTGATTTGTTGCAATAATTCCCCACCCCACAACGCCCAGCCACAGAGAGCAAAGGGGTCTGCTTGTTTGTGTAACTATTTATTCTAATTTGACCCGCTTATTGAGAGGCCCGCCCTTCTGCGGCCCACTCACCCCGTTGGCCATTAATTGATGCAGCCGCTTAAATGATGAATCACTTTTTCATTAAAATTTGACTTTGAGTGTGACCCCCATGTTGGCTGGCGTTGACTTTTATGTGGTTAATAGTTAGCCTTCCCATTGACAGATATTCCGCAATTGCCGCTCGTGGAAATCTAGCCATGTGTCTCTTTGTTTTACATTTTTTTGTCTGCATTTGCAAGTACAATGAACCAGAATCGGTAGCTTCTTCAAACATCAAACTCGTGCTGAACAAGCTGACCCATAAAGCATAGCATAAAACCGATAAAAGGAAAAAGTGCATGGTGAAAGAAAAAAGTGCTGAGAATCAGAAAGCGCTAACAGATAGAACACCTGCACATAAAACCAAAACGGGAATGTGGGTGACAATGTAAATTGTATTTAAGCTGGGGTGAAGGCCACCAAATGGCAGTTGAACTTTCAGTTCTTTTATAATAGCAAGCATAGAGTGTGTTCTTAAAATGAGGCTTCCTATTGTTACTCTCCTGTTGGTCTTTCTGATGACTGCTTTTGCCGCAGTTAATGTTTTGGCTCAGGTGGCAGGCGGTGATGACTTCCCAGTCTTTGAGGACAATTCTGATACCGACGAATTTCCTCCAACTGCATCCAAAGGAATAACTGATGTCACCATAATCACAGCCACCCCAATTTCATTTGGTTCATCTTCATCTGTTCTCACCACTATAAGTTCTACGTCAAGAGATTCTAGTACTACCAGTACTTTTCCTTCTACAACTCAGACTTCCACGACTAATAAAGTCTCAGAAGATTCCACCACATCTTCTCCAACCTCAACTGGTTCCACAACATCTTCTCCAACGATACCGGATTCAACTTCAACCTCGACTGATTCCACCACAGCACCTTCAGTAACAGCTGATTCTAACACAAGAGATTCGACAACAAAATCAACAACACCTGTACACACCACAGGATCTCCACAGTCCTCTACGCCTGCTAAAAGCACATCAACAGAGTCCAGCACAGAGTCTTCAACAATAGGTGAATCCACCACAAAGGAATCAACAACATCTGTAGCTACAAGCACATCAACTGAGTCCACCACTTCTTCTTCAGCTACAACAAATGATTCAACAACAGATAAATCTACAACTAATTTTTCTACCACAGAATCTACAACCGCTACTGATTCTTCAACAAGTGAATCCACCACAACTTCAACTGTTTCCACCACCGCTAGCCCCACCACAAATGTTCCCACTACAACTGTTCCCACCACAACCTCTGAACAGCTAACAGAAGAAGAAATCATTTTGACTCTACTGGCGGAAAACTCAGAAGCTCAAACTGTGTCCAATACTTTGCTTAATACTGTCAGCACATTTATTTGGAATATAGACGAAGAACTGGACAGTCATTCCGAGTCCCTTGACATAGTTAAAGACACCAAAGATCTCCTTCAAAACAAAACACAAGAACTTTTATCTTGGGAAGCCGAGTTTCTTCGAGGAGTAGTCACTTCTATTCAAAAGATTGACTTATTTGCCAACCGAACGATCGATACTGTGTCTCATTTGCTTAGTTTGCAAAAGCAAAACTTGGATCGAGTAAAAGATCTTGGGGTCAAACTTAACAATACCGAAGGCCAAATCCTGCGTAGCTCTAAAAGATTGGATAACAAACTTAACTTTGTTAGGGAATTACTTCTGCGTATTATCGAGCCAAAAGTAAATAGTTTAAAGGAATCCTTTGCCAATCTTAACACATCCCAAGTCAATTCACTTGTTGAACTAGAGAATGTTCCTTTGGTCATAAATCTAACCGAGAGTTCAATTATAAAGTTATCTTCCCTGAATAAGCAGTTAGCTGTACTCAACCAGACTCAAGAAAACAGTTTCGACTCTTTAAAATACGCGATTAAATCGTGTACTCCCACTAACCTCAACGCGGTAAGCGATCTATTTCAGGCCATAAGTATGTCCCAAAAACGCACCGATTTGGCATTCGCTCTTTGTGGATCTTCGGAGTATAGTCCTACTCATTTTGTGAACTATAACACTCAGTACATCAGCAGTGGCTCTGAAGCCCCTATCTACAAAGAGATACAAATCTAGTAATCAGGATATCTCGAGTGGTAAAGAGGAGTCATGAAAAACTGAAGCAACCCATATTGAAAACTAATAGTACAAACTAAATGGACCACGACTACATAAATATGTTTAATGTATTTTTAAAGGCTTGTATCAAAACAACATGTATCTATGTAACATTTTCTAGAAGTAGTAACCTAAAGAATGGGAGCAATGTATCAATTTCACCCATCCTACCGTTCAAATAAAAAACAGTTTAAAGTGCAATACTCGAAAAATGCTTTTGAGCACAAATTGTGCATGGCAAATATGCGGACTATTTTGGCTGGCTATCAATTTACAGACAAGGGGACACCGTGAAGCCGCTGAGCGAAACTGATACCATGGATACAGCGAGATGTCGGGGACCCCAGAACCCAGAACGAATCCCAGACCAAACCGAGAACTACAAATGTCTTTCGGAGGTGGATGGCTGAGAGGATGGCGCGAAACAAAAGTCAAAACAAGCACAACATGAATGAACCTTTTAACATACTTGTAGTTACTAATTCCAGGTGACAGGCGACACAATGAGTCGAAGTGGATTTTTCATTTGTGGCCATTGTTGGACCCACACGGGTATCGGGATTCGGGATTCGGGGTTTGGGATAAGGAGCAGCCCATAAACAGAGGACACAACAAAGTTGTTACAACAACAGCAGCATCGGCTGCAAAAGTGACCAAAATCAGAGGCTACCAAAGTAGTAACAGATGCTCGATGCGAAGGTGTTGCCATTGCCCTCTGAGGACCCGCAATCGGGAGTCCCGCATATCTTTGGGTTCGAGAGCATCTCTCTGGGCACACGACATATCCATATCCTTTTCCCTTTTGGTTTTCTGGCTGTCTCCTCTTTTTTTTCTTCTTTTTTTTTGGCACAAGCCGGGCAATAAATTATCAGATACAAAATCGAGTCCAAGCCAAAGTCAAAACAAAGGCATAAACACTCGACGGACAGAGACAGAGATGGCAACAAAGCACGCACTCGACCAATTGACGACACAAAAGACCAAAACAAAAACCAGAATCGGAATCAGAATCGGAATCGAGCCCAGTACCAGAATCAGAAGCAAAACAAAACAAATCGAGAGGCTGCACAGAATGCAGAATGAACAGAAGAATGCCCGAAAAGCATGGACATAAACACTGACAACATGCTGCGACACGGAATGGCTCAGAGAAGCCCCATATCCATGGGTATGTGGTCTACACCGAGAGAAAATGGTCCCCACTTCTAAAAATATGAAATATATATAGGAAATATATATATAATATGGTGTTGATAGAAAGTAGATTCCCAGCAATTTTGTGCAAGTAGGCGTTGGTTGGTGTTAGCTCAAAAACATGATCCTTAAATTTCCAAGTGCTGATTTTCTTGGAATACACTTAGAAGATTACCTTAAATTACCTATTCTTTTAAAAAACAATCTTTAAAAATTAAAAATTATTTTTTACATATTTTTTCCAGGCCACCTTCCAGACTCTTATTTTGATACGTTTGAATCTCTTTCATTTCTAAGATCCTTTTCACTTCATAAGAAATTCAGTATTTCACTTAGAGCTTTCTCAAAAAAAGTTTAAGTTTATGACTAAACTCTTAAATTAATTTTTAACATTTTAAAAGGCCACATTTATTTTAAGTGTAGAGTTCGTGTCTGCCCTTGGTTATCGGAAGCAGCAGCAGCAGACGCACAAATGACAACTTCGAGGGCAAAGTCAATGAGCGCCTTCCTGCTCCCTGTTATCGCCTGCTGGCCAACTCCCTGCCCCCTCCCCCCCCTGGGCTACTCCTGCTGACCAGAGGACAAAAGGATCCCGGCGTGTTGCAAATCAAAACATGGAAACAACGACAGCAAACAAAACTCTGAACATGCGTCGAAATGCTAAGAAATATTTTCACTCAGCCAGCTGAAACATGCAAACAGCTAAAGTTGTTCAACTTAGTTTATGGAGTTGCTTGTGTTTGGTGAAGGAGTTTTGAAGGGGGGTTGTGGATAAGGCATTGAATATTGAGAATTTCCATTAGCAAAAAGAAAATCTTTAAGACTTATAACTACGTAAATACTTCTCCTTTCTGGTTTCTCTTAGCCGATAACCCCATCCAAGATTTCGCATCGTTACCACTTAATTAAACCCAATTAATCTACAATATAAATTATTAAATTTCATAAAGCAACAAAAGTTAAATAACTTGCCCACAGACTGACGGGAGATTTCGACACCCAAAACCCAAGTAACCAGAAACAGAGAGAGCCGCAAAAAACGGCAACCACATCGCGGAGGCAGAAGACCAAGACGATGGAGATGATGATGATTATGAAGCAGAAGAGAGTGGCCCACAGCCGGGGATATGCTATATGGGGGGATTCCATGGAGGGGCAGGGGGCCAGGGGGCCACAGGATTGGTATCAGAATCGGGCCTCGGCAGCTCCATGCTGTGCGCGATTCATGTTTGGTGATTAAAGTAAAGTTCGTAAATTTACAGTTTTCATCAAAGGGGCGACTGTTAGTGGACTGGACTCGGCTTTTCACAGTGCTCTGCTCTGCGAGCACCACAGAGTTCGGCCAGAGTTCAGCCCAGGTGACTGTGACGGTGACTCTGTCGATGACTTCGAACCCCAGCTCCAACTCCTAATCCAGCCATACACTGGGAAAACTCATCTTTAGTATAAGAAACTTCAACCACATATTCATAAAGGTATAACACTTCTAAATTGGAATCCACAACTTATGATACAGAGTAGCGTTTTGGGTTCTCGTCTGAAAGTTATTGTAACTGCGGAAAAATCCAACATGAAAGTGGGTTAAAATTTTGAACCTCGCTTTAAAGATACATTTTAAAGTAGAATGTTACAGAATTTAGCCACAAATTCAAAGATGTAAAGATTGTAAATCGGCATACAATTACTCAAGTTATGGAATCTAGAAGTGCAGATTTTGGGTTCCCATTCTGGACCCCATTGGAAAAACCTAAAATTTGAACTTGAAAATGGGTTACAATTTCGACCCTCGCTTGAAAGATATATTTTAATGTAGAATGTTAGAGAATTCAACCACAAATTCAAAGAGGTATCCCACTTGTAAATCGGTGTACCATAACTAAAGTTATGGAATCTGAAAGTTCAGATTTTGGGCTCCCATTTTGGACCCCATTGGAAATACCTAAAAACCGAACTTGAAAATGGGTTAAATTTTCGACCCTCGCTTGAAAGATATATTTGAATGTAGAATATTAGAGAATTCAACCACAAATTCAATGAGGTATCCCACTTCAAAATCGGGATCCACAAACCCAAGTTATGAAATCTAGAAGTACAGATTTTGGGTTCCCATTCTGGAACCCATTGGAAATACCTAAAAATCGAACTTGACAATGGGTTAAATTTTCGACCCTCGCTTGAAAGCTATATTTGAATGTAGAATGTTAGAGAATTCAACCACAAATTCAAAGAGGTATCCCACTTGTAAATCGGTATACCATAACTAAAGTTATGGAATCTGAAAGTTCAGATTTTGGGCTCCCATTCTGGACCCCATTGGAAATACGAAAAAATCGAACATGAAAATGGGTTAAAACTTCGACCATCGCCTAAAAGATATATTTGAATGTAGAATGTTAGAGAATTCAACCACCAATTCAAAGAGGTATCCCACTTGTAAATCGGTATACAATAACTCAAGTTATGGAATCTGGAAGTTCAAATTTTGGGTTCCCATTCTGGACCCCATTGGAAATACCTAAAAATCGAACTTGAAAATGGGTTAAATTTTCGACCCTCGCTTGAAAGATATATTTTAATATATAATGTTAGAGAATTCAACCACAAATTCAATGAGGTATCCCACTTTAAAATCGTGATCAACAAACCCAAGTTATGGAATCTAGAAGTGCAGATTTTGGGTTCCCATTCTGGACCCCATTGGAAATACGTAAAATTCGAACATGAAAATGGGTTAAAATTTCGACCGTCGCTTTAAGGATATATTTTAATGCAGAATGTTAGAGAATTCAACCACCAATTCAAAGAGGTATCCCACTTGTAAATCGGGATACAATAACTCAAGTTATGGAATCTGGAAGTTCAAATTTTGGGTTCCCATTCTGGACCCCATTGGAAATACCTAAAAATCGAACTTGAAAATGGGTTAAATTTTCGACCCTCGCTTGAAAGTTATATTTTAATGTAGAATGTTAGAGAATTCAACCACAAATTCAATGAGGTATCCCACTTGTAAATCGGAATACAATTACTCAAGTTATGGAATCTAGAAGTGCAGATTTTGGGTTCCCATTCTGGACCCCATTGGAAATACGAAAAAATCGAACATGAAAATGGGTTAAAACTTCGACCATCGCCTAAAAGATATATTTGACTGTAGAATGTTAGAGAATTCAACCACCAATTCAAAGAGGTATCCCACTTGTAAATCGGTATACCATAGCTAAAGTTATGGAAGCTGAAAGTTCAGATTTTGGGCTCCCATTCTGGACCCCATTGGAAATACCTAAAAATCGAACTTGAAAATGGGTTAAATTTTCGACCCCCGCTTGAAAGATATATTTTAATGTAGAATGTTAGAGAATTCAACCACAAATTCAAAGAGGTATACGACTTGTAAATCAGGGTTCAATAACCCAAGTTGTGGAATCTAGAAGTTCAGATTTTGGGAAAAATTTTGAAAAATCTTGAAAATGGGTTTCTCACCATTTCTTTACAGTGCACACACATATTCGGCGAAGCAGACTCCTTTGGCTTTTCCTAAACTGATTTCCAGCAATAAGCATTAGTTGAAAATTGCAATTGTTTTTGTAAAGGGTAGGGAGGGGCAATCCAGGGGGCGGAGGGGCTGAAGGAGGAGGCCACACCGCGGGGGAGTGCCAGTCCCAGTGCCAAAGTTAAAGCCAAGTGCCTGTGCCAGCGATTGCACGATTCCCTGGCCCACGGAGGGATTGGATCCCGAGGAGGTGGTGGCAGAGGCACATCATCAACGTCCCCAGCCACGTCGTCAGTGCAGCAGAAAAGCTGCAAAAAAAATCCAATTGTATTTAACGAATTTTTCGTGGCTCTGGTTGTTGTGGTTGTTGCTGGCTTTCTGGAGTCCGGAACGGAGGGCCGTGAATCATATGGACACCATTAAATGGAAAGGTACGAGCAATGGCAATCGCCAACACGCGTCAATTGTGCGCGCTGTGTGAGACCGAAGGAAAATG